TGTTGCCTAGTAAGGCGATGAAAGCTTCGCAAATTAACTATCCAGCTCAGAGAACACGACATCAAAATCCTCCACCTGAGCTACAAATCTTCTCCATCATATCTGAATTCAGAAAAGTTATAATATGTTTTGTACACCAGGAAAAGGCAATCGAAGAACAGAACTGCGAGAAGAATGTTAGAAATACTGTGCAGAATCCAACAAGCTATTGAATGTGGTGATATTCGATCAATTCGCAAATGATATGCAAATACAGCATTGAAGATATGGTATGTCAAATTTATGTACTTACAGTGTATTTGTCCTAACGAACATTCCTTTGAGTCTTCTTCTTTACAACAGGAATTGCGAAAAATAATCAACTCAGAAACTTATGGGGAATACATTTTTTTTCCTAAAATTAAGTTTCAAAGCTGAATATGATCTAGAGGAAATAAACACACTGTTTCATCAAACCAAACGTCTAGTCGCTGAGTGAGAAACATATAGGATACTAGTTTTTAGTACACCCACTTGAGAAAATCAATTCGCTTGCACACTGTGGAATAAAAGAAATCTAAATGTGTATTATATGAGATATACCAAAGAATTTTAAAGGTTCACCAAAAGTACCCACTGAGTCATGAAGAAAATAAAAGACAATTCAGAAAAGAAAATTTTCTCTATCGACGAAATCATCTCCAGAGTCTTATTTATATTTCCCAAAAATGTATATTAATCCATTATTGATTAACTGAGGAGGGTGACATAATTGGTATAGTTACTTTGCAGTGGCTTCAAAAGTAGAAATAGAAGTTATGAATTACGAAATACTCAACAGAACAAATGAAGAAAGGGTTTGAAACTTGATAAGGTTAAAACTGTTATTGAGTGAGAAGAAAGGTAGTTGAGTGTCTGTTTAACAAGTGTGTAGAGGGTAAAAAAAAGTACAAAAGAAACATGCGAAAATGATAGTAGTGAATTAATTATTAGAGTAAAAGCAAACTAACCATTAAAAATAAAAACTTTACAGGGAACGACTAGTGAAGAGGTTAAGACCATGGTAGAATAAGATAATGGACGACATTTTTCTGTATACAGAGTTCGGGGTTGTATTGGCGGATCGCCAACGCCTCTGCCATACAAAAATGCCAAAATCTGATATCCTTTATACCACTTGGCCTCACCTTGTAGATAATCGTGAAAGACGACTCTGGTGGTGCTGTGTCGTTTGAGTTTATCAAGTGCTCGAGAACTGAGCTAGTAACTGTTTTGCATTGTCCTTTTGCTAAGCATGGTGGATAATGTTCAGAGATGCATTTGGAAAGTGCATGCTTTGTGTGGATTGCTCTTCGTTCAGTATTGCGAAGTGGTAATATGACATGAAATGAATGAATGAGAAAACATGACAGCTGTCAACAATCATAAAATTTGGAATATCATAAATGAAATTAAAATAAATAAATAAATAAAAAGCGTGTACACTTGGAAAATTCCCGCTAGAACATATAGGAAATTAAAACAAATGATTCAGCGAAGAGACTCTTTTCAAAGAATTTATTATAGATCTACAAAGTCGTATATACATAGTTTTTAATAATCATGATAGAAATGGGACAAAATATTTGTGATCATAATTGTATTTAAACATCAAGTGACAAAATAGGTTATATACCTTATAAAATGGTTCATGGTAAGTATAAATCTCAGAAGAGGGTGAAGAATTAGAAAGATTAGTAGACAATTAAAACATTACAAAAGAGACTATTTCACTCGGCATGCTGAATTAGCAGAAAAACTCTAAAAACCATGGAGAAACTTAGTTTTAACCAGAATTATGCAAATCTAAGCTCGAATTAAAGTTGTTGTACGTAAATGTATCTTCCATCAACTTTCAGAGTAACTGTTTCAAAGTTCCTTTGAGATTTAATTACTGTCTACTGTAGTTCAGTACTCCATTGATAATCTAACACTATTTGTGCATTTATCCCTCATTAGTTTTAATAATAATAATAATTTTATATTTTCATATAAACATAAATTTACATGAAAATGCATGCCATTTTTACAGGCACGATCAAGTATGATACAATGTCAAATAGTAGATTGTCTACAAGTTAGTAATGTTTGAACAGCTAAATATTTGATATATGTATAAATTCACTCTTTGTCTGACCCATGTCGTATCATTATTGAATTAAACAGTAGTCCTCCAGGTTGCGCAGGAAAATCGACTTCATTTCGTTTTCAACCCGTAGTTGTAGGCATACGATAACCAACCAATATTGAGGTAAGTACAACGTTTACAAGGGATAGTAAGCTGTTTTAGAAAAGTAAAGATGGTAAGGTGAATCATTAAAGTGTAATGAAATAGGTAAATGCAATGTATCATTAATATATGCATTCATAAAGGAAATACAATGGGAGACTATAATCCCTAGGCTGACAAAGTTGCTTTGCAATGTATAATGCTACCCTATAGGTTTTACTATCATGTTGTCCACTTTTGGTTTAATACAATTATCCACAAGCCGGTTGTTTTAATTTCATACCTTTTTGTGTTTGGTGCACAACCGTACCCTATAGAGAATAGGAATAAAATAAGTGGAATCAAATTCATAAAGAGCTATAAAATGTTAGGTTTAGTGGAATATAATGAGCAAGTGAAGACGTTATTAGAAAATGAATGAGATGAGACATCGTTAGGTGATATTCGAAGATATGACAAAGGAAAGCGTGTCAATTTATAAGATGCCCCATAAATCTGTGCAGAGCCCACATGGTGGCATCTCAGTAATAGGCTGACCGAATGGTATATGTTTAAAGGTAGAAGCATGATCTGTCCAGGCGATCATTATTATCTTATTCAAGATAAAGATTCAAGCCCTAATAGAAATCTCGACCATCAAATTGCATATTGCTGCTCCTGCAGAATGGGGCGATTCACCTTAGTGACCACCACCATATCTACTGATCAGCATGCGCCACCCTCCCTCCTTTTATGATGATAGGCTCTGATTGTTATGGCTACAGCAAATATATTGCTTGATTCCAGACACGTTCGTACCTCACATTCCATTTCCCTAGCTTTCTTAGTGAGTGCTTCTGATAGATCTCCACATACAGATTTATGAACATATTATGTATGTGTGCATGCGTCCTAATGAACAGATTAGTTTATAAGATGTTAAACCCTTAAAGAGTAAAAAGAATAGGTTTTGTGAATAGTGGAGCAAGATTCATCAGAACACTATAGTTAGAGTTCAATGTAGGTAGTATGAACTGAAGGTAAGGTCGGTTGGCAGGACTTATTTACTATAAGTTATGCTATAGAATGAAATTCTTTCCAAATCATCTAGAAAATAGGATTTCATCATGAATTGACATCGGTTAGAGGACCATCGGAAAACCTGGGAGTACTGAACAGCTGTTTCGTCCTGCTTTGAGACAAAATCCTGAAACCAATAAAATCCCTGAAAACCAACACTTGAACATCTAGGAAATAGTTCAGTTGACACGAAAATATTCAACCAACAATAGAAGTTTTCGCATAGCGTAAAATATTCTGTTACTTTTCCACCATACTTTCATGTTTATTAGTATAATTTATCAAATAATTTCCCATTTCTTTAATAACTATTATTTGCAGACACTGGAACTATACACAATATCAATAATTTAACCGTTAAAGTCTTTGAATAGTGAAGTAATATCATCAAACAATGAGAGAAAGTAATAAGGAATTTTTACTACTCATTTTTCGGGATAGTTTAGAAATTAACAATATGAGTAGAAACGAAGAATTGCTGTAAAGCATGATTTTAAATTTGCTACTGATAATACAGTAGCAGATACCACAATGAGACTAACATATTGTTAGTGGAAGATATACATGGTGGAAAGTATACACATAAGAAATATTGACTACTATAACTACGAGTTCAGATTGTGGACATAAAACCAATAGCAGTCGTATTCAGCTTAATTAAATGAACCTGTTATGATGTTATCGAGTGTGAGTACAAATGCTAATTGATGATAAGAATACTTGATAGCATCCCACTCGATTATTACCCTGACCTGAACCGGTGAAATCCAGAAGATCCACAACAGTAGGGTTAGGAACGTGTATTTCCAAAACAAGTGAGAAGATAGGTGACCAAGATTACGAAAATATATGGCATATATTGGTCCAGTCACAAGGTTGGGATAGTAGATGTTAATTTCATACTGGATTCTGATTGGTTAACTGCCATCATGCAACAGGTGATTGATTTTTATCTAACTAATAGACTAATGGACAGATTGTAGAGACAAATCAAACTTACAGACTAATGAGGCGAATTGCGAGTATATATCAGAAGCATATCTTTTGACACTCCAAACCACCGCTCACCTGTTATATGGGTGTGAAGTAAATTAGTTTCACTAGTTTTTATAGGAGAAAAACTCTGTACTTTTCTGAGAGTCGGTACTGTACGCTGGTTGTTGCAAATGTGATTTTTGTTCTTTTGATTTCTCAGTCAAATTTTTTCACAAAATATCTCATTAAAATGTTTTGTAAATAAATTTACCTATTTTGCAATTTGAATAAATCTATTCACACAATCACACAAGTAGATCTAAGCGTGATGACAATATATATAGTGACTTTTAAAACAAATGTTGAGTGTTAATTTCTCTTCATTCATTAAACTATAGTACATCAATTAAAACAAATTAGATCAGTTGTCCTTAGTAATAGTACAAGTAGTACTCTGATCTTCGTATTTTACCGTCCAAACATCTAAATCCCTTCAAAATGCATTATTGTACATCTCATTCATTTAATGAGGGAAAACAAATTTGGGCGGTATAAGCATAAGGAGAAGCAATTATAATTTAATAAGCTTCAAGAAAATTTAAGTCTTTTTCCACTGACAAAACATTTTCTATTCCCATTGTGATGATAAGGTCAGTGTTATAACTTTCAACAGTATCTCGAGGACAGTGATGAACGTTTTAAAATCATGTATAAATATAACTTAAATAAAGAAGAGGAACAGTTATTCTGGTTATTCTTGGAGTGAGTATTACAACTATGTATGGTGTACTATTCGAAGTTTTGCGACGTTATGTTGAAAGCACATTCGGTGAAACAGTATGGTCAGCTGCTGTTGAAGTAACCAATGGACAACCAATTGAAATACATACAAGACAAAATTATTCTACAAGACTACTAACACGAATAGTCAGTGCAGTTTCTGAATTTGTTGGTTTACCAGAAGAGGATCTTTATTATGAATTTGGGATTACAACAGTTCAGTATTTAACTGATAATGGTTTCAAAAGTATACTACGAGTGTTAGGTAAAAATTTTGTTGATTTTATGCATAACATCAATGAACTGCACGAATATTTGCGTTTTTCATATCCAAAACTTAAAGCACCTGGTATACAGGTTACTGCAATTAAAAATAATGTCATTGATTTGGAATATTCAAGTGTACGTGAACAATTTCCACATTATCTACGATCACAGTTGATATATATCGCTAAAAATTTTTATCAGTTGGATATTAGTGCAAAGTTAGTTAACCAGCAAAAACGAGGAGGACTTCATATTTTTTCTTTTAAATTGTACAATAAAGGTTTATCATGGATTGAATTAATAGAGAAAGATAGTCAATTTGATCAGAATCCATCATTGTTGGATGTGACGACATACGTTTCAGAAAAACAATTCCTAGGTTTATTACCGTTTCATTTACTGCTGACAAGAGATATGAAAATTAGACGTGCTGGTCCAAGTTATTTATGCCTGAGAAAGGATATACTTGGGCAAGAATTTACTAAATGTTTTCAAATAGCAAAACCTAAGACAAATCCAACATTTGATGAAGTAAGTATTAGTCATTTAACACTTCCTAGTTCCCTGTATGTAGGTTTATAGTGTCTAGAATACTCTGTAATATTTACTTTCATGTATTTTGTTAAGTTATTCACAACACTAGCTAAGATAACTAAAGAATATTTTGAATCGAAAAGTAAAGTACAAGCTTTATAATTGACACAAATATGACTAAAATTCAGTAATCAACTGGTCTTTATGTCTCACTAGCGGTATATTACTTTCTTATTTAGAAATTTAAAAAAATTTCTCGAGTAAATCTTAAAGGTGTCTAGTTTGTTCGATTGTACTAAGCTCTCACTGAATCTCATCACCTTATTTCCAGCTAGATAATCACCAACTGGAAGTCATCACATACTCACATTTTTTCCTTATGAGTACTTATGCACAAAACTTTTCTCACGAAAGAGTTTTTCTGAAAATTTGAATGAGAGATAGCTCACAGAACCTAAATGAATGCATCAGTATAACTATTAGAGTATGAGGTAACATTATCAATTATACCCATCCAGTTTCGTTCTATATACACTGAACGTAAAGAAAACATTAGATATTCATGCCTATAGTTCAGTACATACATAAGCCCTTCTATCAAAATATTCAAAATCAGTATGTTATGCACTATTCGAAATAAATCTTAAATTATGAAGTGAGAATTACACATTCATGAAAACTTGGTTCATTCGTCCATCCTTTCTTTATCCATTTTTCATTCAACCGTTACATAACTTTTAAGCACAGTGAATTAAATTACTTAAACATTATTATTATTTTTATAGATAGGTTTAAAAGAACTGCTAACGTCAACTTTATGCCCTGTCTCTATAATATGTTTCGCAATAGAATAGCTAGGTCTCCTGTTCTCATTGTTAATAGGTTCTGAAGATTCCATTTGTTTCTGGAGCCATTTAGGAATACGAAGATCTATTTATAGAAAACCTACCTGGACAGGACATTATTTTAATTACCACAGTTTCTGTCCTGTTCGGTACAAAACAGCCCTAGTAAGGTGCCTCTTCAGTAGAATCCAACGAATATGCACTGAAGACACACTTGAAGAAGAAAGAAAGTTGACACAAAATCTGGTTGATAACAATTATCCAGACAAGTTCATCAGGAGATATAAAGTAGTCAGAACACCAAGACCCACTCTCCAACTTGCCCCTAAGAAAGACGTGTACATCAAGCTACACTATATGGAGCATCAAAGCAGCTTGATAACTAAACAAAGACTGAACGCTGCTGTCAAAAAGACTTTATGTAGCTAATATCATAATAATAGAGAATGTAAAGCCAATATATCTACCTAAGCCCTTCGAACATGTGAAAAATGATGTCACATCCCACTGTATTTACCAATTTGAATGTACGTGTGGACATACATACATAGGAGGGAGGACTCATGGATCTCTGCAAGTAAGGGCTTCAGAGAATATTCCTAAATGGCTCCAGAAACAAATGGAATCTTCAGAACCTATTAACGGTGAGAATAGGAGACCTAGCTCTTCTATTGCGAAGCATATTATTATTTTTAATGTTCTAATGTTATACATTGAATTTATTTTCCTTTCTATTTCACAACCTATAATTATTATTCTGTAATCATTTTCATTTTATTCGGTACATTTACTAGTCAGTACTCTTCTTGTTTAAACAACCAGTATCGTGTTACTTTTCAAACAATAACCATTTACAGCTCAATGAAACGAACTGTATGAGAAATCCTTTGCCACTATGTGTATGTAGGTACAGACTTTTGAAGACTAATAAAGCTGAGTTTGCTCAGTTATTCTTTTCAATGATACTTTTAGCTCAGTTTGTGTGAATCGATAAGGCTCCGCTTAGAATACCTCAAAATCCATTGAAAAATACTTCAAATAATAGTGATACGTATTAGTGTTAACTCAAATCGGAAATCTATTCAAGATTTAAGAGTGTAAAATATTTCCACACCATGAATTAATAATTAATTTTCAATAAATTCACAATATTTTGTAAGTGCATTCGGTCAAGCGCGTTTTTTCACACGATAGCTCACCTGTTATTCTACATAAAAATGTATCCATAGTATAACTAATCATTATTGGATTAATAAATATTTTATTTTATAACTGTAAGCGTTTTAGGAGAATTTATTCAAAAGAATATTCTTCGATCAGACCGACTTTGAATTCATGATTTCTATACTGTCTAACAAAAGTACATATTCTGGGTACAAGGTAGCTAGCTAAATCATTCAGATAATAAACAGAACTATGAGTACACTAAAATTTGAACACATTCATTCTAAAGTTTGAGAATAGCCTAACAGCATGCCGTATACCGTCAGCCCCTATAAAGCCAATAACATAAGATGTGTTTCTAAAGTGGGGTCCTCGGGACGGTAAAAATCAATGGTTGGAAACATATGGTGACATGGCTCAAAATCGTTCTCAGTGGCGCAGATGCATCCACTCCTTGTGACTTATGATTTCCAATTAAACTGTTTTGTTCTCCATTATTACTATTCCTTTGTCTCACACCTCTGTTTACTGTCTACATTATGCATTTCTTCTACTTTCTTTTCTTGCTTTGTGTGCTACATGGAGTGTGGCAACTTGAACTGCCACACATATGTGCAAAGTTCTATGTCGAAAACCGACCGACCGACCGACCGATCTAAACTGTTCACATACATTCGTATAACTTTGTCCAAAGATTAGGTTATTAGTAATCCTGTGTGTTTGAATGGTCTAGTAACATTTTGTCTCATACAGTCAGTCTCTGCATATCCGACATCATTAAAATTAAAAAGGCATACTCAAAGACTTGAAACCGGCAATTAAATGAAACCAAAACAGCAAAATTAGTAGACTGGATATGACTAACTTAATAACAAGGCAAACCAGAATGTAGCTGCGAAAATGAAGTACAATGATGTGCATTATATACATATATATATGTACACATATATGTATATATAATATATATATATATGTATATATAGGCAATGAGACAATAAACAAAGGTGAAGACTAAAAAGGTCACACAATACACACAGTTGATTGTTTCGGTGTTTGGATTAAGAGACTACATTCTCTCCTCTGGGAATGACTGTGGGAAATCTAGCATCTAGGATGGATAGGTAAAAGCAACTGATTGTAAATGACATGTTGCTAAGTCATGCAAAAGACGTAGGATTATGAGTGAACTAGCATTTGGGCACATTTATTCTAATGTATTTGAATAGCCCAGCAACATGTCGGTTAATTTCAATCATTAAAAGCCGATTAACATATCTCTGGAGCTTCTCCATGATCTTACACAAACAACAGACCATTACGAGTAGATAACTGTAGGGCCTGATGAAGAAGTTATTGGAAAGAATATCTTTTGTTCATTAGTCAGTCTTTTGCACTTTATAATGGGTACCTTTAATCAGTTGGAATTGTAATGTGCCTGGAATAAAACATAAGTAACTCTTTCCCTTTTTTTAAATATAATTTTTTTTAGGTATATGCGAACCGATTCACAACTTTTGAGTTAGTTCTCTTAGAAGAAGCTTCTTCCAAAAGTAAGTAGCAATTTTAAACTTTTTTTATCCACATCAAAATATTGAAAACCTGTAGACATACACTCTACTTGAGATTTTTGATATAGTTTTCCCTCAGTATTATTCTATTTCAAGAAGAGTTCTACTGTCGCATAACTTACTTCACCTCTGAAACACTGAACTTAAGAGTTTAGTTCATTAATTGTTAAATTTAACACCAGAATATCTTTTGCTTAGGTTTTGCTCATGCCTACAGTCATTAACATGGTTTATCTGCAGCCTCGAGAAAATGCATCATGCTTCTAAGAGTCAAACCTTTAACTCAGTTTCACAGTCACAAATTTCAACTCTAAGTTACTCAAATGATTACTGACCCACTCAGTGGACACCGGATATAAACCAGTGTACCTGCCTAATTAATAACTTTTAATTAAAGTGTAAATCTGTATACTCAGTAACAGTATTTGCTCGACTTTTAATGAAGTGAAGCGGTAACTCATAGATGAAATATTTGCTTGAAGAAATAAGTTTTTATTACTTATGTCTTTTTTTATAGTTTGGTTTGTAAGGGTTAGTTATGTTTTTACGAGTTGATCACGGATTGATATCAGTTAGAATGATTTCATTCTAATCTAAAATTCTTACTTAAAAGTCATCATTATTTTTTAAAACATACATGGAAGTTTCACAGAGCAGTAGTGTAACAGCAGAAGGCAAGATACGGAAGCTAAGGTATATTTTCAAGTGATCAAACCGCTATTTATATGTATACACAGTTTATATTCTTTAACCAATCACTGAGAGTGTGATTTTGGTTTGCATTAAACGACATGAAATAGACTGTTCAAATACATATATGGTATTCTGTTGCTAATGCAGTATTGAACTGTGAGAATAGTATTCAGACGTTAACACCAACAAATACAATGATTCTTACTGTGGGAATAATATTCTGTTGGAACTTATTGTATGTATCACACCACCACAGTAGTAGTGAGTCGAGTAGTTTTGTAGTTTCTTGTACAAACTAATACATTAGTGATATCTTTAAATTGAAAGAGCAAGACTCCCCCTAAATTTATATTAAGTTTCATCTAGTGCTACTCACTTATGTTGTAAAGGATACATTGACATTCGTAATATTTGGCTTTACCATGATATCTTCTATTGCATATGCATGCATATATCCTAAACCCAATGATTCTAATAGTTAACTTATATTTGACAGAGTATAGCTGTTGGTTTGGGCAGAACTACTTATCGTGTGATTATCTGAGATATATCGGCCGATAATTTTTATTGGTTTGAATAAAATTTATTTTAATGGTTACTAAGGCTGAGCAGAACAAAATAAATGAACTTTGATAACAATCTATCCTTTAAATTTGTGTATTCGTTAAAGTTTAATTATGAAGTTTGGTAGTCTAAATAGTTTTCATTTCCCAGTCTCCGAACTGTATAATACATTGATATATTAATCATATCTATTGTATATGTTATAAATGATTCAAAGAACAGGGGTTCAAGAGGAAATAGCATATAGATATACTCAAGACGAAGAGAAGAAGCAGTTTACAAAACTGTTAGGAATTTAAATGATTCTCACCAATGTTACCGACTTCAGAACTCACAGTTCATTGGATTTCGACTAATTGACTGAGGAAAGAAATACTCAGCTGGTAACCTGGTTATAAAATCGATCTACGGTGAAATTGTGAGTAGGTAGTGTTAAAGAGTCTCAAATTGGGACGAAACTGCTATCTTATGCCATCCGGGATTCAGGGACACCATAACTAATGTCATTATGTAACATCATTCTCCTCCCTTAGAGTCTTTACATCGTTAAAAATTTCTGTTTTCCTGTTAGGATTTTGATGCTGAATTAGAATTCAAATGCATTTAGAAAAAAGAAAACTCCCAATGGACTTTTTGCGGGACAGATGAAAATTGTTGATCCTTGTACATTATTTATTAAGAATTAAACCACCAAATGAAATCACTGAATTATTTTGTTAAATATTTAATTCACTTTATGCCAGCTATTAAATATCATTCTGTTTAAAACTACCCATTAAATTTGTCCTGTAAAATTCAAATATTGGAAGAATTGAGAAACCGGGAAATACTTCTGGAAATATTTATTCAGAAGACTACAATAAAATTCGAAGCGTTAAGAGGGACCTAAATACTAATCTATGAATGTGTGAATCCAGAGATACATGTCATGAATAATATAGAGAACCATTTGCAATTAGTAGTGTTCTCTGAGCTGGTTGGTTTAGTTGCGGAGAACCATTGAAAACCAAGGGGTACTGGACAGCTGTTTCGTCAGCCTAGTTTGGGAACCATCAGCAGTACGCCACCACTGGGATTCAAACCCAGGACCTTCCGGTTACAACGGAAGTTCGTATACCACTCAGCCACTGGGACGTATGATAATATTCCGAAATGACTATAAGTAGTTGCATAAGATAGCTTACATGCAGAGTGAGGAACTTAGATTATCACTAGCAGCTATTCATTACTTACACCGAAGTTATACTATTAAGCGGTTTTGGTTGGTTTTTCGAAGGAGACGTTGTGGACATAAAGGTTTTGTTTTTCCAGTTTGTCATTTCAATGTGAATTTATGCCCTCAGTTGTATTACATTGATCGTGCAAACATATGTTATCATATAATTGCGTAATGAAAGGTAATAAGACGATTAAATTTATACGATTACATACGAAATCTTTTGTCTTCCCCTAAAATGAACGACGTCAAAAAACTGAAAATACGGGCCTTTCTTCAAAGAGTTTATTTATTGTATCCTAATTGATAACAATATAGCTTGTTTTTTCACACTTCTGTTGACAGCTGCAAAGCAAAAAGTAATTTTTTATTGATGATTTCTTATTAAAGTCAAATATCTATATCAGCCTGCTACATGTCCTGTGGATAGGTTCTCGTGACAGAAAAATGAATTTTAATGTAATAGACTTTCATTTAATCCTGGACATTGAAATTATGAAACAAAAATTAGAACTATATTTTAACTGGTATTTTAAGGCGCTTATTTCACTCACGACAATTTTCTTTTAAATTGCATAATGATTTCCTAATATGCAATTCTTTACATTTCAGGTAGATCTGCAAAAAAGACTACAGGTCCTCAGGAAAAGTGTCGCTTTAAAGGGGAAATTTCTTTTGTCGAAGAATGGGATATGCTAATCTTTATGGGATCACCCTTGTAATCATTCATATGTGACCTTTTGTAATGTTTATTTATTTTCACCTTTTATATTTTATTGACGATGGTTTCATAAATATTTATAACTAACAGTATAATGTAGCAGGTTTTCAACCTGTAGCGATCAAAACCCTCGTGTTATGGTGGGAAAGCAGGAAATCAATCTATGAGTTTTACTGTATAGGTAACCTAAACTTCTTTTTGATTGGACACTAGTCAGTAAGTAGTGTAATGTGTCTAGTCATATATTCGGAGCAGACAGAATTCTATCAGTCAAGCGCAGTCACAAAATGCCCCAACAGCAGTTTAAATGGTATAAAATCTATGGTACTGTTTAACAATAACGACATCAAAAACTCAAGATTACCTCAACAATGCTGTTAGGCAGCTATAGGATATAAGATAAGTTTCTAGTACAAAACAAGCATTGTAGCACAAAATTAGTTAACAGAAAGTACCTTAAAATCTCTTCTCACAGGAATCACACACCAACAATTCCCGCAGAAGGTCCAAGGTCAGAATGACCTTGATTTAGTCAAACTAAATGACACATTATCAGTATCATCATACAACTTCCAAAAAGAAGCATTAAAATTAGACGTTAAACACAAACAAAGACAAATAATAAAGAATAAGTCAACATGTGATCTGCAAATGTCACAACAATGATATATAGCCTAAAAGAAAAGACGAAAATAAGTACAAAGTTGGTTGAAACATCCAAATAAGTTTCACTATTGTAATTAGATCGTTCAGAAGGGGTTTTCCATACAATTATTTGTTTACACAACGTTTTAGAGAGCTTAAATCACTAGCACTGATTACTTTGGTATGAGCGTCGGTGGCATAGCGGTTAGGACGCTCGCCGACCATGCACATGGTCCGGGGTTCGATCCCCGGCAGACGCACTCCTTTACCTCGCTAACCCAGAAATAATGCTGGTGAAGAGGAAAGGTTGGGCATGAGGCTAGCAACCCCATCCTGTAAAATAAACACTGCTACAGAAACTTCAAGCCACTAGCTTGAAGCCCTATGTTCCACTCTGGAACGTGAAGGATCATATCATTACTTTGGTATGAGTTATCTCGTTGTTTAACTATAAATAAGTTTAAGTCAGGTATTTTCTCTTTTGCGAAATTTTATCAGTTGATTTTTATTATCATCTAACTTGTTTCGACAATGTGCATAAAATTACACTGAGCGAAGTGAAGCATTAATTGTGCAGTCGTGAGAATCAATGTTTGAACTGGTGTTAATTGTTTCTGCATATAAAATCAGGCTAGTGCATTCCTCAGCAGAACTGAGAATTCCAGTTTGACAATTCAGTTCAATAAAGAGATAGATACCTCTAAATTATTTTAACTTCCAGCTGAGTCTTATTTGTTTGTTGATGAGTAGCACAAAACACTAGTTCCACGTGTTTTGTCACTTTGACATACGTGCACCACAGTATTTTGGTCCTGTAACTGAGATCTCAACTATCACCTCTTATTTTTTATTATGATGGTTTAATTCATGTGTGTTTAGTGGTTAAATATAAGCCATCAATAAAAATTAAATTGTCAAATGCACGGATTTTGTAAGATATCAATTTATACGGCGACAGTTTATATCTCGAGCTGTTATTATCGAAATAAATATCAAAGGAATATGTGTAATCCTTTTAGTTTGTGCAGTTAGTAAAAAAAACAACTGGTTAATGTCATATGATTCTTATTCAACCTTCAAAAGATGTCAGTCAATCATGACTTCTGCTATAAGCCAAGAAATCATAAGTATACACATTTGATCATAGGGAATAAAAAGACAGTTGCAGCGAAGAAAATTTTCTTTTCGACGAAGTCATCATCTAGGCTGTACATTCGTGTATTTATATCAAATGGATGGGAAAGTTCCAGAACAATTTCTGGTTAGGGGTTGAATTAATAAAAAAAAAAATTACAATTAGGAATTAGAATGCCATAATAAACAGGGGGATGGGTAAAACTCAAACAAAGTAGCATAATAACTAAGAAAATTGACATTGTGCAATTGGGGGTTAGAAATGTGAAAATAACAAAATATACAGGATGTTTGGATAAGAAACTAGTGTGATGAATAATTGTTTATGCAATCAGGGATTAAATATGTAGAAATAATAAAATGACAAAATAAACAGGAAGTGTGGATATGAAAATATGGTAGTGTAGACAGGGATTAAGAAAACTTAAAATAACATGAATAAACAGGAAGTTTAGATAAGAAAGGCGATGGGATGGTCATTAATTAGAAATTTACCTGTTTACGATGGCCATGGCAGGGACAGGGGTTGAATGTATTTCTTTTGGATACAAAGGGTGGGTTTGAGTTTTTGGATAGCTAACGCCTCAGCTATGCCCAAATGTCTTGATTTCACTCCCTTTGATAGGTTTGATTGAATCTTGTATATTACTTTGAAGGACTTTTCGAAAGGCGCTGAATGTCCTGAGTTGACCAGATGTTCTGTCACTGAACTGTTTACACGTTTTTGCTCTCCTTTTACCAGCCAGGCTGGGTAGTGTTCACGAGCGCGTTTTCCAAGTTGGCGCATGGTACGACCGATGTACTCAGCTCCACAAGAGCAAGTGAACTGGTATATGCAAGTCAAGCTGGTAAACCATTCAGCCACTGGGACCCGATTCAATGGCCACTCCATGAATTCTAACTTCTACCTTGCCTTGTTACCGGAAGGTCCTGGGTTCGAACCCCAGTGGTGGCGTACTGCCAATGATTCCCAAACTAGGCTGGCGAAACAGCTGTCCAGTACTCCCTGGTTTTCAATGGTTCTCTAACTGATATCAGTCCATGATCAACTCGTAAAAACAAAACTAATCCTTACAAACCAACTATAGAAAATTCATTATTATCCCAAATACACAAAGGCAAATTCCACTTTTGAATAGGAGAACACATATTTTCGCATAAGTTTTTACAATAATTCTCATTGACAGTTACTCGAAAAACTTTTCAGTGAATTAACTTCAGTTTTTAACATTTTACCTAATGAATTTAGGATTCGAGACACAAAACAGTTGTATGAAAAGTCATTACGTATATCTGATCTGAATATGTTTGACCGTAGTCGGGAAATAATTTTTGAAGGAGAGCAACAATCCGATGAAATGATGAAACTGTTTGAGAAGGTAAGCAGCTTTATAGAAAATCACTCTAATGTTTTCCACTTTAATAAGTCTTCATTCCCTTCAGTTTAACATTTTACGTTATTCTGGCAGCTTCAATATAGAAGTTAGGTATACTAATCTAAAATAAAGGCATGATAAAATAAACAGTATCACAGATTGTCATTGGTTAAACACTGTGATTGACTGAGTGATAATATATTCTTTAACTATCCTATCCCCTGCGGTCTGATGCATCACTGATCAGCACTGTTGACAAGTAGCACACTAGGACTAAACAGATTTCAAATCCCCCTTGATTTTCAACTATTCTTTAGCTTTCAGAAGTTTAACAACGATATCTAACTTGAGAGTAAAATATTATTCGTAAAATTTACGCTCACTCCGATACTTATGTATATGTACTGTTAAACAATAAAGAAGATATAGTTGTTTTACATAAAATGAAAGTGTTTTGAAATACAGACGCATTGAAATAGTATATGTTTTAAACTTTAAGTAAGTAAAAGTCAATTCTAAAATTATCAAGTATTGATTTAAGAATAAAACTTGGCACTGGGTAGAATGTAATTCCATTATGGGTAAATTTTTATTTTGATAGAGTCTCACAGTGTTATACAGTAATATTTACTGATGACGTTTCGAGCACAATTTATTGCTCATAACCATATCAAGGTAATCACACGACTTCCTAAATTCATTTATATAGTTCCATTGTTTTTCACTTGATTTTCACTTCATTTGATTGGTAGTATTATTTTCCATATTTCAGGTATGGGTGATGATTCATTCCTATTGCATGTGTTGGGTGTAGATTCGATGAACAAAGATTCTAAAACAAGCAATAAAGGTTAATAAAGCAGGATTTAATGAATTCATCAAATTTCGGTAGAACTCGTCAGCTGAATACTCTACATACGCGGATATATACTTTTGAAATTACATTGGGAGATATAGGTTGATAAGTAAATAAACTACATTGAATTAGTCATGCAGAAAGACAGGTGCGAATGTTTTTCCAGATCATGTGCAATTAGATAAGGGGAGAGAGAGTATGGGAGATCAAAATTAAGATAAATTGCATTACGCTTCAATTACATCACTTAGATAAACAATTAGACATTAGAGAATTTAACAAGAATTGCAACCAGAGGGATGTCAATAGTAATAGTTATAATAAATAATTGAAATTTATTAAATAATAATAGTAATAATAAATAATAATAAGAGGTAGAATTATAAGAACAAAGATTCAGTAATCAACCTCTCTCTCTCCACCTACCTAGATTACTTTTTAGAATTTTAACCCTCTCCCACCCTATTGTGTGGTTGTGTGTTAATGTATGCATTGCAATTACTTATCTTCTCTGGGTCAATCATTCTTACCTTAGCTAAATTCTTATGTTCTGACAATCTGACTACCCCTGACCTACTAGTTTGACCTATGTAGTTGACCTCACAGTCATTGCAGAGTATTTTGTAAATTATATTATTTTGTCTAATTGGGTCCACTGGGTCCCTTAACCTACAGAGCTTGTCCCTGAGTGAGTTTGTAGGTTTAAGTGCCACCCTAATTCCTGCTTTATTTAGAATCCTACGTAGGGTCTCAGATGTCCCCTCTTTATATGGTATAACTGTAGATGACTTATATTCTCTCTTATTTATGTTATTATTACTAGTTTCACAATTCTTTTTATTTTTCTTTTGGCGTTTTTCAATCTTCCTAATGAATTTTAGAGGATAGTTATTTAAAACCAACGCCTCTTCTATCTGTTTTATTTCATCATTTAGGTCTTTTTTTTGTGCTACTTAGTGCCATTGCTCGGTTTGTTAAACACACCAAAAGAAAAAGAAAAAGAATTGTGAAAGTAGTAATAATAACATAAATAAGAGAGAATATAAGTCATCTACAGTTATACCATATAAAGAGGGGACATCTGAGACCCTACGTAGGATTCTAAATAAAGCAGGAATTAGGGTGGCACTTAAACCTACAAACTCACTCAGGGACAAGCTCTGTAGGTTAAGGGACCCAGTGGACCCAATTAGACAAAATAATATAATTTACAAAATACTCTGCAATGACTGTGAGGTCAACTACATAGGTCAAACTAGTAGGTCAGGGGTAGTCAGATTGTCAGAACATAAGAATTTAGCTAAGGTAAGAATGATTGACCCAGAGAAGATAAGTAATTGCAATGCATACATTAACACACAACCACACAATAGGGTGGGAGAGGGTTAAAATTCTAAAAAGTAATCTAGGTAGGTGGAGAGAGAGGTTGATTACTGAATCTTTGTTCATCGAATCTACACCCAACACATGCAATAGGAATGAATCATCACCCATACCTGAAATATGGAAAATAATACTACCAATCAAATGAAGTGAAAATCAAGTGAATTTAGGAAGTCGTGTGATTACCTTGATATGATTATGAGCAATAAATTGTGCTCGAAACGTCATCAGTAAATATTACTGTATAACACTGTGAGACTCTATCAAAATAAAAATTTACCCATAATGGAATTATCAAGTATTGGTTTTGTAGGGAACTTTGTATGATTGGTTGGAGGATTTCATCATGAGCTCACATGACATGAGCTGAGCACGAAGTGGTCGCGCTTTGTCATGAATTGGCATAAATTAGAATTCACGTTGGCCATTGGATCGAGCACCGGTGGCTTAATAGTCTACGAGCTCACCTTGTAATCAGAAGGTCCTGGGTTCGAACCCCGGTGGGTGCGTACTGTTGAAGAGTCCCAAACTAGGATGAAACAGCTGTCCAGTACTCCCAGCTGGTTTTCCAATGGTTCTCTAACCGATGTCAGCTCATAATGAAATCCTCCAAACAATTCTAAAATTACTTTTGTTTCTTTAGGAGTAAGTTTAATTTTAATTTTTCACGATGATCTACAGATTATTTAAGAGTATGGTGTATGACAGATATGTAAACTCGGCTATAACCAAATTATATATTCAAAACGTATTCACTTTAGAATAATAACTAGTTTATATACATCATCATGAACGGTAGTAATGTTAAGTTAAAAGTGGTAAGAACAGCTGATTCATCTGTGTTGCTGTAACAGCAGAAGATAAAAGACTTGGTCAAGCGATGTTTATTTGGAATTTGGTACCTCTATATAGAGAAATTATGTACACCTTATCTCCAAATTGTCACTGGCACAGATCTTCCGTGTTGTGCTACTTCTGCCCTTCGTATTGTTTCTTTGTCTTCTTTTTGTGTTGCCCATGTTTCCCCCAAATGCTGAATCATTTGCTCTCTTTGACGTCCAATCTATTTCTCCACTATTTGATATTTCTGTGTCAATGAACGTCTCTTTATATACTACTGACAAACCTTATCAGTGGCAAACGCCACACTACTATTTCTCAGCATAGTCATTTATGGTAATAAAAACACTCTAAAGATATTGGTATGCGACATTATAAAAGTTTTTTATATTTCCTAATGAATAAAAACAACAAAACGATATTGTTCTTACTGACATTTCGCTATTTAATGCTGCTAATACCTTAATCAAAGTTATATCAAACCAGAATCTACAAAATCTCAGTTCACATACAGTAAATTAATCACAGTTCTTCAGTATTAGGTAATTTTTGCATTGTCAAGTGGGTGAATCAGCAAGAGTGATAAACTATTTGAAGATTGTTGGATTAGATAAATGTGTGATATTTTAAAAACAGCATATGTTTACGTAATGAAATAACTTATCATATTTGTGTTGATTTTATCGCTTCACGTGGCGAGTGTTGAAACCGAATCAGACTCTGGTTTAATTCATCATTCTTATTCACACAGTTCGGATTCCGCTTAATATTAAGTGCTTCTGATATGAGACGTTCTTTGTCATTTTTGAAATTTTTCTGGATGACTTCAATATTGTCAAAATCAGTTTAGTGGCCTGATTATGTATCAGACCGACCGCTGGTAATTTATCAAGCTTTTCTAGTTCCACTCGATTTCTCGGTGGTTGAATACTGGGTCTACAATGTTCATTTCTTCTGAACTTGATTCTTCATGAGGTCTGGGCATTTTATTTTATAGACACAGTTTGAAAATCCTATGGATCCTGGCCTTTCACATCAACAAGGTTGCTTTTTAGTGTTCCTGGCATTTTGAAGAAACGGTTGATGTAGTACTCGTCTGATATTGTCTGATTTATTTGACCTGTACGGAATGACAACTGTCGAGGTCCATGTTTTTGGAATACACTTTCGATCATATTTAGTATTGGTGCTGATTATGGCTTATGAAATTCTTTGGATAGTTATTTTTCTTGAGAATTTTGGTAATATTTGATATTCCTCCTTCTTTGGGTTTTTCATCCGTTATCAAAAGCGTGCTTGTGAAAAAGCACTTGAAACAATTGATACCTTTGCACTGATGCGGTATGATGAGCCGAAGTCTAAATATTCGTCGAAGTGTGTTTTCTTCCTGAATATAGACAGTGAAATATCCAGTTCCTTTCTCCATCACTAGGCAGTTTAGAAAAGGTAACTCACCGAAGTCTGAATCTGCTAACAAAGTAAACTCAGTGGTTAAGGATTTATTGTTTAGTTTCCCCAAGAATGAATTGTGTAGGTCTCGTTTTAGTACAAGGAAGGTATTATCAACGTATCTTAGCCATATTTTATGTATATGTTTGAGAAAATGTTATCTTCGAATGTATTCATGAAAAGATTAGCAACTATTGGTGGGACTGATGAAACTATGGCTACACCATTTATCCGTCTATATAAATTTCCTTTAAATGTAAAATAATTAGTTTCCAGACAGAATTTTAGGGGTTTAATGATCTCACGGATGTTCAGCGGATATCTTTCAAATAGAGTTGTGTCTGATTATAGTAAATTAAAAATGATAACAAGATTTTCGGTTATGGGAATGCTAGTATATATAATCACCTAATATCATAGCTTACCATGTCTTCCTTAACAATTTTCTGATATTTTGTTTTGAAATTGAAATCATGTTTTTATAACTTCATACATTTATCAAATCCAACAATCTTCAAATAGTTTATCACTTTTGCTGATTCACCCACTTGACAATGCAAAAATTACCTAATACTGAAGAACTGTGATTAATTTACTGTATGTGAACTGAGATTTTGTAGATTGTGGTTTGATATAACTTTGATTAAGGTATTGGCAGTATTAAATAGCGAAAATACAAAAAAATTTTTAAACCATCAAATGTGAACTTGGTTTGAACATATATTAGTATGCGTAATTGAAGTTTTAATTCTGTGTTAACTGGAGAAGACAAATTCTAGATACTAAGATCTTTAAACCGACATTTAGCTTATACACATATTATTTGGACAAACAGAATGAGGCTCATATTGTTGCAGACTACACTAGTACGTTTTTAAATTTGATAATTGTAATCTGTACCTAAAAACCACTGGAGTTGGAAATCAGATGGATGAAGGCAATCAGCAGGAAGTCTTGGACATAGGTTTCGTGTTTGCTGGCATTCGTCAGCAAGCTGTATCTGCAATTCTAATGGATCTAGAATCCGAATCGGTGCCACTCCTGAGATTCGAACCAGGATCATCGGGTGCTGCAGTCAGAGACATTATCACTGACCTTTTGGGGCTCGCAACTGACTTCATGTAGGACTGTATTGGATACTTAGCACCACATCTCCTTTGTTTATTTTGAATCATTCTACCCATACGTGCCACTGATTTTGATCAGTCTTTATAACTGCTGTATATTCACTGAATTTACCTGTGCTCAAAGATATTTTCAAAACGTTGTGATAATGAACAAGACATTTAGCGCCTACTGTTAACACACTATAATATGAAGAGGATCTCAGGAAAAAGCGTGAATTTCATACATTCTCAGTTATATGAAAAAAAATCTACCAAACAATTAAACACATCTCAGCACTTCAGTAGATTAAAATTTCCTGATGATAATTTTAGATCGGTCATATACGTTGACTTAGCAAGTGTTAGCATGGAAGACTTAGTCAAAACACTACTCATTTTTCTTCATTTTGATTTTTTTATTACAGCTTGATTCCACACCGTTTTTTGGTACAAGCATGGAGTTTTCAGCATGTGATATCGGTAGCCCAAATTTTCAGGCCGACCATTGATATCAGGCGTTCGTCGACCGTGTGCATGGTCGGCGAGAGTCCTAACCACTATGCCACCGACGCACAAGCAATATTTGCTGGCTATTCAAATGCACTAGGATAAATGTGTCTATATACTTGTCCACTCATAATCCCATGTTTCTGAATGACTTAGAAGCATGTTTTATACCGTCAAACCTCACTTACTAGCTTTAAATGTTTGCCAGTCACCTTGACGACGACTATATATTTTATTCGTTTGTGTTTTTTTTAAATTTTAGCAACGCCAAAAAAGTAAACAAATGGAAAAAGCTATGGCTCATTTAGAAAAAATGAGAAAAGTAACTGATGATCTGTTATACCAATGCATTCCTCGACCAGTAGCCAGAAAAATTAGGAATGGTACCCCAGCAATGGAAACTATACAAGTAAGTAACTTCCTTTTAATTTTAATATTTTACAGTAACTAAAAAACACACTTTTACAACTTACATGAGAAGAAATTTGAGACACTGAGTAACATCACTGAGAAAAACTGAGTGGAAGAAAACTAAAACTCACTGAAAGCGGAGTGAAAGGAAACTAATATGGACATATCTGGCAAGAATAAGGGACATAACACAGACACCTGGAAACTGATGAAAAAAGAGGGGGAGGAGGATGAAGAAGAAGTAGATGAACTGATATATTGATGAACAACGAAGAAAGATACTGAGCTCAGCCTGCGACGTAATGAACAAAGATAAGAAGAGTGCTAGGAAATACATAGAATGCTGTTACAGCACATCGGTAACTGAAGCAGAACAGACAGCAAGTAAGACAAACCTCAAAACATTGTATCAAATAACCAGGTCACTATCTGGGAAGAGATCAACACAAATGAAGCTAACTCAATTGTGTGAAGTGAAGATGGGAGTACGGTAAGACTGTCTACTGGTACCGTGCTGGCCTGGATGGACATTCGTTTAACTGACATACTTAGAGATCAGAAGTTCATACATGGTTTACGTATCACGTCTCACAAACTCGAAGATATACAAACGAAAACCAACAAGTTGTCAAAAGAAGCAACGAACACAGGACCTCAGGTCAACATAGAAAACAGAGGTAATGAAGATATCCAACCGACAACAAACACAATGTGATATATCAAATAAAAAACAATGACTTTTGATGAGAGAAATGCATAGGTAGTTATTTCTTTAACTCACTTGAATTAGACATCATCGTTTCAACAGACGGATTCGGATTAGGAAAGCACCACAGGAGTTCGTCACTCTGAAATACTACATATATATATCAGAAACTTGGTGTGCGCATGCACTGACCAAAGAAGAATTCCGTACAAGCTATGAAAGACAAGTTTTTATTATAATTCATTCATTCATTTCCAGTTTTCTGACACTAATATATTCTGTCAGAAGCCCAGTTACAGAAAGACAATCAATTGCCAGGCAATTTCTCGTGAATTAATTAATTTGGCTCGTATTCGTATTTATTTAATGAGGTGTTTATGCCTACTTTAACGTATTATACATTTTCATTTACGTTAAAACTCTATTTCCTATTGTTAGACATTTGATGAAGTAACAATATGCTTTACTAAAGTTGTGAATTTCGCTGCAAAATGTATGCATATAACTGTTGAACAAGTGATTGAATTACTCAATAAAATGTATTCTCTTTATGATGCTCTAACAGAAAATCACAAAGTTTATAAGGTAAATATGACTGTTTTATAATACTTGATCACATATATTTTAGCGTTATTCATAAATAAGTAGTATATATATTTTTGTAAAAATAATTTATATGATATAATCTTTATGCAATCATCCATATTAATCTGTCTGGTTAAGGCTTCAAAAATGAACATTACTTTATATAATAATAATAATAATTAAAAATGCACTTCCTAATTTCTCATCTCAACTGATTAAAAGCTCTTTGAAGGAAATAACATCTTGAGATTTTATCTTGTTAGTCTGAAAAGTACACCAGATAAAAAGGATCCCTCAGTGAATACATTATTTTGGATCGAGACAAGAAAGATCACAATTCATAATATCTAATAATAAGGTGTACACTCAGAATCCAATTCCTATTTCTCATTTACACACTTACAGAACAACAAACTAAGCGAAGAAATACATTCTTCACCAGTTAGTTCTTTAGTGGCGCCTCTATACTAATTAAATATATATATATTCCCATTTCCTGAGTTCAGAGTGACATATAAGGATTCAAACTTTGAATTTTCTGTTGCAGTGATGTTATTTTTACGTGGTGGAGTTGCTAGTCCCACACTCAATCTCCCCCCTTCTCCAAACTTGCTATCGCCCAGTAAACTCGGTAAGGTTGTAAGAGTGCGTCTGACAGGATTCGAATCCAGTCCCCTTATGTGGCTGGCGACCATTCTACCATTGAACCTACCAACATACCAACACTAGTATATACTTTTACATTGAAACTACATCAGTCATGTGGTAATGTCAGCCAATAAGAATTTTATGATGAAATATGTCGACATAAGAGTGGAGTATCCATGGGGTCTCCGCTTGGTGCATTACTTGCTAACTGCTTCATGGCATACCTAGAATCGAGTGCTCTACAACCAGCTATGAATCATTTCAAAGTATACAAGTGATATATGAATGATATTTTCATCATTATCTATGAAAACGTTGATCTAAATAAAATTCTTCAAATATTTACTAATACTCATCGATCAATTAGTTTTAATGTAAAAAGTGGGTTAGAAGGATGACTCCCCTGAGATTTTCAACTTCCGATAAGAACTGATGGATTGATCCTGAAATCATTTTACCAGAAGCAAAAATGGATCGGGCAGTTGATTAATTCCTACAACTGTGTTCCGATAGGTAGAAAAAAACCTAATCAAATCTCCTCCCATATACATGGAAGATAGATTAAATACAGAACGAGAGTCTTTCTGAAACACTGACTCGAAATGCTTATCCACAGGCATGCAATAACAGATACATGAAAAGTTAGATTGATGATCTGCAAAAGACAGAAGTGATGAAGAAGTTAGTTGTAAAACGTGAAATTCAAAGATGAAACAACAGCTGAAATTATATGAAGCGGATTATTGAGAAAACATATTAGCTTGAAGGTATTCTTTCTTATTGAGAGCAGTTCTATGTTTCACCTTCTCCACGCTACCTCTTATTCATCAAAATGTCAAAGAATGTCCCACTTTTGGCATCAACCATGCGTATGCATTAATTCATTTTGTTTCTGTGGTCATAAGTACAATAGATGTACCAATGGGGTATTGTCTAGACGTGTACAAGATAGTCTTATTTTAATATTATCTTAATTTTGTCCCCCTGCTACTGGTATTAAAGAAAGATGGGACAAAATTTACATCTGAGTCAGAAAATGAACAAGGAGAATAAGCTGTATTAGATCGTAAAATGAAACTAATAGAAGATAAACTATACACCAGGATTTATAAAAAGCCAACACACTTTAATAGGTAATTAGGCTTCATTTCATCTCATCCGTTATCTGTAAAGTAAGGCTTAGTTAAGTATCTGACAAAATGAGCAATAATTCTAAGTATTACACCAGAAAACATAAATAATGAAATGAAACAGATAGAAAAGTATTGGTGGTGAATAACTATCCCATAAAATTCGTTAAAAAATCACAAAAGCTCACTAGAAAAGGTAAAATAGTAGTGGAACCATCGACTATAAAATAAATTAGGAATTTAAGGCATCTAGTTTTACAATATAGGGAAGGGATATCTGAAACCTTACATAGGATGGCATTTAAGCCTACAAACTCACTTAGGGACATTCTCTGTAAGCTAAACGATCCCACTGACCCAATTAAACAAAATAATGTAATCTACAAAATATGTCAGACAAATAGATCGGGGGTAGTCAGATTATTGGCACATAAGATTTTAGCTAAATGTAGAATGATTGACGCCACGTAGAAGAATAGTTTAGAGCAAAACTCAAGAATGCATGCACTAACACAGAATCACACAATAGGATGGGACTGAGCTACAGTTCTAAAAAGTAATATTGGTAGATGGAAGGAGAGGATAATTACTGAATCACTCACTGTTCATCGAATCTACGCCGAACGCGCACAATAAGAATGACACGACGCCAATACCGGAGATATGGGAAACATTACTGCCAATAAAATCAAAGGATAAGAAATAATGAATGGAATTGCATAAATGAAGTTTGGAAGTTGTGTAAATGCCTTGATATGATAATGAGCGATAAATTTTGCTACAAACGTCATCAGCAAATAATACTGTATCACTGTGTACTTCTATCAGATAAATTTCCTCTATGATGGAATCTTTGCATTTTAATTCGCCACAATTCTTATAACAGAATTGTTGAATCTCATACTCCATTTATCTAAGGTGCAGTTGAACTGTTAACCAAGTGAATGAATATCCAACTAAATGATTTCGAGTTAGTTTGTCCACTGGAGAATTACTGAAAAGAAGAGAAGGATTGAACTAATACTCTCTAATAAGCACATTACAGTTATTCAGGTTATCTGTTTCAGAGGTAATGTGTATTAGCAGTATTTTTCTCCTCCGAATTTTCTAAAAACTTTTAGGAAAATTCGAAAAGAATAGAGACGTTGAAGTGTTTTAAGTATGCATTCACTTGCTTACTTTTACTTGATAACTAAGAAGTCACATAAAGAATTAAAACCAAAAATGTTTTTATTTGCACAAACCTCGAAATTAATTAAGACAAAGAATAATCAACCTCTGTTTATTTTCTATTTGAAAGGTTGAAACAATTAGTGACAGTTATATGTTAGTTTCTGGAGTACCCAGTCGTACACCATTACATGCAGCGCATATTATCGATACAGCACTAGATATCATACAAGCGACATTAGCCAGTCTGTATTGGCCAGTAACAATTGAAAATACTCCACCTGGTCCCAAAACTAAAACACAGTATACAGATGAGCATTTACACCTTTATGTCGGATGTCATACTGGGCCAGTTGTTGCTGGTGTAGTCGGTTATAAAACACCAAGATATTGTTTATTTGGTGATACAGTGAATACTTCAAGTCGAATGATGAGTCATGGACTGGTAGGTTAACTATGTGTAGATTTTTAAATTTTCAAATATATTTCTTTTTTTGAAATTTTAGTGCAGCACTTCTAGTAACAGGCATTTTTGCACCAAAAGCATTAGTCACTAAGCTTGAGCCAGGGTGATCTCTTCTACGACATGAATCAGTTATTTATTGCAATTATTTTCACTTTCCCCTGGAGAGATTCAACTGGACAGCAATTTTTGATCTCTGTTGATATGTTGGCTCCTAGTACGGAGGTTTCAACGATGCTCTGAGACTAGCCTGGTGTTGATGATAACTAGCAATGGAATGCAGGGCGAGCATCTAGTCTTTATGAGGAGTGGCTAGATGTATGTACCTGGATCTTTACATCCCTGAGAGAAGTTTAATGCCCAATTTTGCATAGCATTCAAGACGTTTTGCTGACTGAATATTCAGCCGCACATTTCAATATGAACAACTCTTAGACTATTATTCTTCTGGAGAAAATGAACTACAGATATTTTTCTTGCATGAATGCATTATAGTTAACATTCAAACAGGTTAAGATAAATACTTAACTTGATAACAATATCAACAGCGACGCCAACATATATGTGGGTGGCATTTCTGAATTTTGGTTTGCATTTTCACTGAAGAAATAAACAGTTAATATTTTCAATGTCAACTGAGATTTTCTTTGTAAGGATACAGTTTTTGGTAGCAGTGTTGTTTTAAAGCTGACATTCTTTGAGCAGAGATTTTAGTGATATTCAAGTCACTTTGTAAAAATAACATCGGCTGAAACTAACAAAAATGTTTCCATTTCGGCGACGATTTAAGACTTAAATGCAGTGAAGATGACGATCACAATATTAGTGTGAACTGTCCTTCAAAAAATGCTTAGTTAGATAACAGCCTTACCGGGGTATACACATCTTGAACATCTCCAACCACTTCATTTAGATGTACCTAAAAGAAACTCAATTTCTTTAAACAAGAATTTGATGTAAGTTTTTCCTGAAATATACGTCAAAGCAGTTATAATTATTGTTCGTTTTCTGAATTACAAGTGGAACATACGGATTCAACAACACGTCTCCATACCATTTAGTTCCCTACTCTCATTTTTAGCTGGGTTCCACTCTAAGGCCTGGTGTGTTATATTACTCAACGCTCTCCTTAATGTGTGTCTAATTTATCTCCATTTCATTCTGCATATTTGTTGGTTGAGCGATAGGTTCTCCAGTAAACTGAGTCTGCACTTTTATGAAATAGACCTGAAGTTTGTATGACTTTTAGTGAATCTATCTGGTGAATCCAACGTTGCCATCTAGATATCTTTGTGCTGTTACACACTTCTCCCAATCATCATATTAGAAGTCTGAAAAGAGTTCTCCGTGTACACATATTTCACTAAGTGAGCACCTCTCGACCTATGATGAATTCTCTTCATGTGTTGCTTGTTCACAGTTTGACTGGTATTTGTATTACATATTAGAATTCTGGGGTTGCATTCTTACCGGGGTTTTGTCCATTATTGTAGAAGTCCTTCTTGTTCTCCATTTATCCTGCGTTTTTGTATCATTGTAACTACCCTACATTTTGAGGTTAAATTTGTCGTCATGATCCCGGTAGAGATTGATCCTCACTACATGTCAATCTTTGAAGCTGTTGATGACACACTCAGTGTGCTCATGGTTGTCATCTGGGTGACCGGAGTATGTTATTGACTGTCGCGTTAACTGATAGGAGAGTCCAGTTTCATTCCTCTGCTCTCACAGATTTCTATACCATATATTTTTATTTCTTGTGCAATCTGAGCAGCCTTTTTAGTCAGCCTCAAATGTCACGTGGATATGTCTCTATGCTTACTTTTGCTTTCATGGAAAGAAGATACATCGGTCTGCTGGCTTTCCGAAGCCTTTCACCCGCTGGTGTTATTAATCTTCCTGATTCCGATGAACAATAGATGTTTTTCTGAAATTTCAATTTCTGTAAGGATGTTTTTCCCCTGTTTGGATGCTAGCTACATGATCAACCTATTACTTTTACCGGGTACAGAACCTGCTAGTAAAGCTGGAGAATTTATGAAAAATGTTTGTGTGTAATTGTTTAAAAGCTTTTTGAATCTAGCCTACTATTATAAGTTAATATAAATTAGTGGTTAACTGAAGTTCTATATTACGTTTTCCTATATCACTCACAATCTTGATGAATGTAGGTTACAGTTTTCTCTTAAATTAATTACGATATATTCACTCATTATCACAAAATTATTAATAGTTATTAGGTTATTGAGTCAACTACTAATCGCTTCAGTTAAACGAGGACGTGTGGATACTTAGAATTACTATAAAATTAACTGTTTTTGAAAAAGTGTGAAATGGATGTTTAATTAGCCTAAAGTTTTCTAAGGATGTTTTTCGACGCAAATTATCTAATCATAAATACATCAATCGTACAATTACTTTCGCCATATTGAAGATCACGAACACTATTTCAATTCCTTTTACTAACGTTTCCACTATTTTTTCCATCCCCTTTTCGTTAGGGTTAGGGCTTCTAGCTTCAGCTTTGAAATCTCAGTAGCGGTGCTGTTTCTACGAGATAGGGTTACTAGTCTCACGCCCAGTTTTAGCTCTTTACCGGGCTTACTACCGAGTAGGTGACATTTAGGAGTTTGTGGACCGGGTATCGTGCCCAGACCACGTCTGGGTTCGATTCGTCAAATAAGGTAACCTATACCGAAGGCTGCAAACTCATATGTCAGATACAACAATGACACTGATGCTAGTTTACTAATTTATCTGGTTTATTCTTTTTTGTGGGACAGAATAATAATAAGTCAGCCCGTAGGTATCGAGAAGAAAAAGTGTGGTCCCATCGCTGAAACGTTGGCATTGCTAGATTTTGAGAAGCTTTATATCATCGACTGAATAAGAGCTCAGAAAAAACTCCTGTAAAAAAAATTGAAAATCGTAAAATCTGACCTTTGATAATGGAATATGGAAATAAACGATTCACATTCATATCTTCCACTGTCCCTGCTTCAACAGAGATGCCTTTTTGGTTGGACAGTAGTGTACTGGTCATTTTAAATGGTGGGATTGTATCTGTACACATTAATTTGGTTTTCCCTGTTTTAATTACGTATCAACTAGAGAAAGGAAAGTTTGCTGTCTTACTTTTGAATTTAAATGAATGAATTTTATTTTTTAATAGTGTGAAATTCTAAGTACACCTACTCAGACCACTTTAAATAATTCCTTTGCATTGAAAGAGTTCTCAATTATTCACATGTACTAAGTTTAGAAACACTTGTCATTTATTTAATAATTCAAATTTTATTCAAGTGTTGGTTTTTGATTGGTTACAGGATTTCATCATGAGCTGACATTAGTTATAGAACCATTGGAAAACCAGCTGGGAGTACTGGACAGCTGTTTCGTCCTAGTTTGGGACTCTGCAGTAGTACGCACCTACCGGGGTTCGAACCCAGGACCTTCAGGTTCGAGAGCTCGCCTTGTAACCAGAAGATCCTGGGTTCAAACCCTGGCGGTGGGTGCGTACTGATGAAGAGTCCCAAACTAGGATGAAACAGCTGTCCAGTACTCCCAGGTTTTCCAATGTTTCTCTAACTAAAGTTCAAATTTTACTTTGTAGTTTGCTTCTGTGTTTATTCTTTTCTCACTGTTAATAGCCCAACCAAATACATATAAGTGAATCATGTGCTCAATCTCTATCCCCCTATCCATACATAGTGGAATGTCGAGGTGAAATTACAATAAAGGTATGCATTTTCATTGCATTCATTCATGAGTTGTATACCCTGTGATGTCTTTTATAATCTTTGTCCCTACTGTTCTAGCCGAGCTCTAGATTGCTTTACACACTTCAGCATTTTGTTTACTTGCCTAAATGAAAACAAATTCTGAGTTCCATATAGACTTTGACGAAACCTTCATAATTATTTACCATAATATTTCGACGATGAAATTGAGACCGATTTGTAGCTGTGGTATGGTGTGTATTATTCTAACGAACTTTTTAAGGTGAGATATCATATCTGAAATGAGTAAATAATGACCAGCACGTTTCTAAAGCACTCCGCTTTCATTAGATGATTACTTCCAAATTTTATCTTATTTCAAAACACTACATGGACAGCCTGTATATAGGCGGTTACTACAAGACGTTTGAGGCTACTGTATGACATCGCTTTGTTATTTGCTTAATATGGTCGGTTTATTCTGAAGTTCACTGAAACCCCATCACCATAAGTCAGTCACTCACTGAAAGATGACAAAACACAATTACTAACAACTGGCAATATCTGGGAATTTACAGTCGGCATTAAGGTACACGATTTACCAGCTTATTAGTCTAAATCGTAGTTGTAATTAGATTATTCAATGAGCAACATGTTTCACAGTTAGATGACTGTTCACTTTAACCACTGAAACATATAACAATGGTTAGTGAGGGTAGTCAGACACAAAGATCAGGTTTAAATCTATCTACCTCAAGCTTACAACAAGAACAGTGATGCAGCCAACTCAAGCTTAATTGACAGTATATCTGTAGTAATCACTACTATCATAAAATAACTATGTGAATACAGTTTTATCCATAACCGGGAAATAATATGCTAAATTACAATGGTCTGAGTACCCGCCAATATCTATATCTTTATTTCTTTTCATAGCCAACTGAAATCTGAAATAAGACGACATTAATAAGGGGTATAAAGACACTGTAGACTGTACATCAAACTCACTAACTGAAAAATTAATGTGATCACATAACTTTTTTTTGTAGAACAAAACAATTCCTAGTCTTCTCGAAGCTTCTTCAATCAATACTTCCAAAAAGTCGATATTAATTTCTGTGACTAACTAAGTTATTAGCCTGATTTGGTTTATTCCATGGTATAATTCATTCTCGCAGTTCATTTTTCGTCTACACTAAATATTATAAAAATGTAACAAGAAATAATTTAAAAAAAGTAAAAATTCCAAATTTTCATTTGACTTTCTGCACTCATTTTCGAGTAACAAAATGGTCACCGTTGTCTTTAAATTCCCTTCATGGCTTCGAAAATCGATGGATCTCTTCAGTAAAACATTTTGTAAATACAAGCATTATCATTTTGAAATAAGTCAGCGATAATGAATACAATGAAGTGCTTTAAACTTAATATAAACAATAGTTATGGCTCCTTAAAACTGTGTTTCATTAAGCTGGGAAAATACAAGAAGATAAAGAACATTTTGGACTGAAATAGCATATCAGTTTGGATTATGATGACTAACAGTGGTATCCAGTATGTGCATTTCGTCCTATTCGGGACTCGTCACTGAAGATGCCTGAAATAGTGTTCCCACTGAAACTCGAATCTATAACCCTTCGTTTCAAGCTCCTAAGCATTACCCCCTAGACCACTTGGGTCACTATTTATGCAAAGGGCATCACTTATTATTTGTATAAAGTCAGTTTTGATTTTGGTCCAAACAATCAAGGGGAAAATCAAAACTGACTATAATAAATATATGGTGTTCAACGTTTACGCGCATAAAAATAGGTCTGTAGAAAAGATAAATGAATCCACCCTGATTGGTGCATAAATTTATTCTCACCATACAGCAGAATAATTTAACCTCTAAAACTTCTAGTTATGCGTTATGTAATAAAACTATGACTACTTTTTTTGCCTCCAACTCTTTAACTTATATCCTTTTCATCAAATAGGGTAAAGGTGGAATGAAAACATATATTGTCACTGGTCGCAAACCAGAATTCACTGTCGAAAATGCAACTGATGGTAGTAATGGTCGCAGTTTTGCTGATATTCTAAAGGAAGATTTGCTCAGAGAAGAGGAGACTCCTTCGGAAGATTCAGAAGATGGATCGGTTAGATTATCAATTGATCTTTCCGATAAAAGTGGAACTACTGAAGGTTCTGAACCAGGATCCCCAAAAGACGAAATAGAAGAACTGGAAATGGATGAGGATGTACGCCCAATAAAAGAAAAACGAAGGCCTAGTCGAGGTGGAAGTAGACGTTCAAGTAAAGAAAAGGTTGATTCCAGTAAAAATGAAGATAAAAGACGCCGATCTAAACAGCGTTCAAATCCTGCCTCTCCAATAGCTGAGAATGGAAAAACGGACAGTGTTGATACACCATTTGTGAATAATCAAAATACAACTGAAATGTTAAATCAAGCTGCACGTCGTCTAGTTGAAACAAAAATAAATGATGTCAAGAATGAACAGAAAATGAAGCAAGACATAACATTTAATCTAGACAATCCAAAAGAAATTATGAAAGAATCACCAAGTGAACCTGATTTACAGGCAGTAAATAATCAACCGGATGAAGCAGCTCAGTTTAAGTCTAAAAATAAACCGTTTGAACGTAGTAGACTGATTAAACTAAACCCAGCAAATAGAACTGCCAAAGTTAACCAAGTTACTGGTAGCAACAATGATAAAGCCAATTTAAGCTCAAGTGCTGAAGAAATCTTGCCAACAGATAACAACAGCGAGAACATAGAGGCTGGTGAGGACAATGATGATCAGAACAAAGAGGATGGTAAGCTAGTTTGTCATTTTTGAACACGTCTGTCATGAAGTAAAGTCATATTTCTTAAGTATAAGTTTATTTTATGTAACATACAGTGATACAGTATTGATAACTGGATGATGTTTTGAGCACAACTTATTCTTCACAATCATATCAATGTATTCAAACAGCTTCACAGTTTGCTGTCTATATTTTTTCTCCCCAGTTTTGTACTCGTTGTAATTTTCTATATTTTCGCCATAGACGTTGTGTCATTGCTATTCCACGTATTTGATGATGATTCAGTGGACAAAGAATCGTTGATTAACCTCTTTCTCCACTCAACTATATTACTTTTTAATACTTTCACCCTGTTCCACCTCATTGTGTGACTATGTGCAAGTGAATACATTGCAGTGGTTGCAATTCTTCTAGGTTATTCCGCTTGGCAGGGTCAATCATTCTGGCTCTGGATTTAGATCCAATGTTCCAATAATCTAATTGATCCTGACCTACTAGATTGGCTTATGTAATTGGCCTCACAGTTATTGCATGGAATTTGGTAAATATATCATTTTTCTTAATTTCATGTATGGCGTCCTTAAGCTGAGTTTATCTCTGAGTTGGTTGGTTTAACTGCCAGCCTAATTCCAGCCTCATTGAGAATACTACGTAGGACCTCTGATATTCCTCATTTAATTGGCAGTACTTTCGAGGCTTTCAATTCCTTATAAATATTACTTTCATTATTTACATTACTACTATTAATTTCTTTATGGTTCTTCATACATATTTGAATAAAATAATTTCGTTGGTAGTTATTCACTATTAATGTTTATCTTTACTTGCTTGATTTCATTATTTAAATCTTCTGACTCGACCATATAAACGCGCTTAACCTACCTTTACTGATTTTTGGGTAGGATGAATTATTGTCTAGCCATTTATTAAAATGTGTCGGTCTATCATAGATATGAGTATCTAACTCACTTATTTGGTTTCACAGGGTGAGTTAGCTATGCTAAATTATTTAATTGGAACATTAACGACTGAGAATCAAATGACATGTTGATAAGCTGTTCAAATACATTAGAATGAATGTGTCCAAATACCAGTTCACCATCGATAATCCTTTGTCTTTCGAGTGACCTAGCTACAAGTCTCATACCACAGTCGTGAAAATACATACATAAAGTGTACTTTTAGTTTCTCCTTTAGTATTTAAAATTAAAAGTAGGGAGAGTACAGTTCATCAAGCAGTACAGTTACCAAATATCTCAACTACATTTTCTCACACTAATTTAGACAAGCCTTAATTTTGACTGAAAGTAAATGACATGTTGCTAAGTTATTCAAAGACACGGAATTATAAGTGGACCAGAATTTGGATAAATTCATCTAATATTTTTGAATATCCTAACAACATTTTGTTTATATCAGTTCTTTTATGTATGAGTTCATCTTATACGTTTTCAAACTCATTTTACATAGACAAGCCTTACAAGCAGGTTGAAATCTTATTTGTATCTATGTCTCACAAATACTAACTTCTTGTTAATAACTAAGTGCAGAAAATTCAGCTAGACATTTTTGTGTGTTGAATACCGCCTTTTCTTTGAGGAGGTTAGAAAATATGCTTTTGATCAACACTCATTTTCAAATCACTATCATCAGTCAATAGGTAGTAGTAACAACCATATCAGAGCAATTCAGACAACTATAGTTTCACTAATCTGCAGCTTGCTTCACCATTGCAGAATGTAGACATTTTGACAGCTTTGATGTATCAGAACTTCCGCCAGTAATTTAACACAGTTCGTTAGTATGATAACCGTCTTTGATACACCTTTGTTACACTGCACATTTATTGACTCATGAGTCATTATTTATTTGCACAAAAATTATAAATTCACAAGGATTCAGTTTGAGAATAAAACAACTTTTATACAGCTCCAGTTATAAGTTACATAGTCATTTCATCAGCAGTGAAAAACAGATGACTATCGTGACTAAACTGATTTCTGTGACCATGAATTTAAAACATACAGAACACAAGTGTGATATTTTTACGAATTAATCCAGGGAAAAAAAGCATACCTACACCCTTGGGTTAATATGCAAACTAAATAGTGTTTAAGTGTTAAGTGTTCGTATAATTTTATCAATGTAATATGCGTTTTGGAATAAAATTATTCATGTCAGTAGTCTACTCCTTTTTGAGAAACTTTTTTCTATATTGTTCTTTATTAGTCAGTGATTAGCCTAAACCTTTCCCAAAAATCGGAGAATCTTAGAGTTGAATTTATGATTTCAACGGTAGGATTAATGCCTCTAGTTCAAGTCGAAGACTTTAGACATGAGAGAACATTATACCCTATATCCACTGTCATAAAATTAAGGCAGTTAGTTTCAGTAAAACAGTTAATTGTCGCATTGCTTGACCATGAAATTAGCAGTACTATTGATTTTTTTTATTTATTCAAACGAAAATAGTACAGCAGTAGGAAGGGTGTATAACCACCCTTGCAACTTTGTTTATTATGTCGTTTATGTAAATACTATGCGATGGAATTTCCTTTCGTAAACCAAATAGGGTAACAGTGTAGGACATATTACTGGGCTATTCAAATACATCAGAATGCCTGAGTCCAAATTCTAGTTTACTTAGAATATCATATGTTTTAATGGCTTCTTAGCATATCTTATACGAGCAGCCACTTATGATAGGTGACTAGTCTAGTCGTTAGACTAAACAATATAGTTACGCCTACGTCAGTCAATCAGAAAACTCCAGAACGTTACTATTTTTCTAGTATATTTTCTGTGCTGTCAGTATGCGGCATGTTCAGGCTATTGAAACACATCCCAATAACAGACATTGTTTAAAAGAGTTCAGACACATTGTAGCACTCCAGAGCTGAAAAGAATGGAAGAAAAGTACCTACAAACGGTCTTCAAAAAGAATGGTTATCCACAAAATTTCATCAAAAAGTGTTTAAAGTCGAATCAGAACACCAACAAGAAACCATCATCTAAGACCACAAGAAAATTCATTCTACCATACATGAGGAACATCTCTGAAATAACAGCTAGAGTACTGAAACCGTTTGATATAGATATAGTACACAAGCCAGTCAAATCGCTTAATTCGATATTATGCAAACCGAAAGATCCAACAGAAAAAGGGGATAAAATTAATACCATCTACAAAATAAATTGTATGAACTGTAACAAGCATTATATCGGCCAAAGTGGGTGTCCCCTTCGAATCAGAATCCAAGAACATAAATCAGCCGTGAAAAGACATGATATGTATTCTTTAGTATCAATGCATGCAGACAACTATGGTCATCAGTTTGATTGGAATCATGTCAAAATCTTAAACAGAGGAAACACGAAAAGTGCCAGAGAATTCCTAGAGGCCTGGTACTCAAGTGAAAATGCGATTAACAAACACGTTAATATAGATGAAATATACCAATTAATAAAAAGTAAATCAGGTGACCAAAAAAGTTTAAAATCCTAGTCAATAGAAAGTGGTCAATACATATGTGAAGATAGTAACCAGGAGACGCAATTACATCACGCATGAGGAAATTTAAATCATTTCACTTCGTGCTAAATATGGCGCTGAAGATGTCGGAAGGATGACGAAAGCTTCGCGACTAAACCAACCAGCTCAGAGAACGCTTTTAATTGTAAACATCCCAATAATCGTATGCAAAATCTCATATATTCATAATCTTGTGCATTTAAGTAGCCTATCAACATACAGAAACCAGAACGCCATCGGCCCTGTGAGTCTTCCTACTTTTTGAAATTATAAACTACTTTTCATACTAATTTTACATAGAACATAAAATTCCAGGTCACGTAAATCGCAACTGTTATTTGATGCTGAAATCATACTTGAAACTCAGACAGAAGTGTGAGAGAAATAACAGAGTAATGGGTGCTAAAAGTGTAGCTATTTGTATTTAGAAGTAACAGAGTCGGTTTTTCAGTAGTAGAATTCTCACTAGACATGTGGAAGGTCTGGGTTCGATTCCCAGCATTTTGAAAGCTAACCTAGTTTACTATAATAGTTTTCTGTAGTAAGCCCGGAATATATAGGGTTTCGATATGTGACTAGCAGCCCAATCCCACTAGTGAAACTTCAAAGTTTGAAGCCCTTTGTTTTACTCAAAACTCAGGGAATGAAAAAAAAACAGACAACCATGAATAATTTTATGACAGCATAATAGGATGAAAGGCAAATTCATAAGAATAACCAATAAAATTCATTGATTTTTGCATAGCCTTGAATATTAAGTGAAAAACTAATTAGTCATCAATATAATTTATTTGATTTACTAGTTTCGGTGTCAGATGTCAATCTAAACAGTTAAAAGCCATCACATCTCCCCTACCCTCAGATTGTTTTTCTTCTTGGAATTTTCAAGTCATGTTTAGCATCTCGGAAAAACTTGTGCGTGTCTGTTTTTAGGTATGAAAGTTCTCCATATAAACGAATATATCGCATATATTTTCTCACAGTATGATTAATATTCAGACATTACGCTATTTTTCGGCCGTCAGCTGGAAGGATAACATTTAGCATTCGATTCCTGATATTTAAAAATGATTATAACTTTTCTTGGTGCCCAAATGTTGATTTTGTGTATTTTTTGATTGAGCTGTTATATATCGATCTTTAAATAGTACTGATATCTTGTCCTTGAGTCAATTACAATAGTTTATTAATAGGTTATCAAAATAGTGATCAAGTTCTGTAAAAACAGACACAAATTTGTATTGAAATCTTTGACAAACATTTTCTCCCTTATTGCTGGAACATAAATAGCATCTTACAGATTTTAAATATCTGCAGCCAACAGTGTGCAGTCACTTTTCTGTCTGTCTGAATAATTACATATCATCACTGTTTTCTTCGTTTAAAGAAGCATTTTTAGTTGGTTACTGAAATGCTTAGATTACATCTGTTAATATCGATATTGGACACATTGATTCACAATATTTTACTGGATTACTTTCCTGCCTAAACTTATCATTAGGATCAGAACAGTCATTTAAACTTTACTTGGACTTTTATATTCCTATTACCTTCCATTTTTATTAAATCTCCCTCTTCAAAGTCTCTAAAAAGCTTATTTCAATCTGATTAAGTTAACGAGTAGACATTAATCAATTAGAAATGGGTGTCAAAATTAATACTACTAGCCTAATACCATTGTGAGCGATTAATTGTATCGTTTCAGTAAACAAATTTGAATTGTTTTTATTTTATCTCATTGATGATTATCATAGCCATGGGTATATCAAGAAAGTATAAGCTCTTCTCACTCATACATCCTACTACAGTCTCCTTTTCCAATCTACTAGAACAAAATGTGATCGAAATGAGCTTAGGATTTTAGAGTCTTTTAAGTTAAAGAATAATGTTCAAAATGGTAAATTAAATCTTGGAATCAGTTTAATGTCAAATACCTCCTTTTGCAATGCAGAGAATAACAACTTTTGATATCTACTCCTTTTAATGAATTAAAATATTGTTCAAAAGAACCGCGAAATTTCAGCTACTATTTTTATCAGAATTAATAACAGCCCAAATAAATGGTGGATAAAGCACTACTTACCAGAGAACCAGATCAGTATTATCAGGTAGACAGGATAAAGTCTTCTAAGTTACATAGTTACATGTCCAATGTTCAACAAAGTAGCGTAAAAATCCTGAACATTTGCAACCCAGTACATTTAAATTCCTCATCCTTCATTTGCTGAATATCTAGACAGTGATCATCGTATAAATTTAAAGAAATAGAGATTTTCCTTATAAATACTTCCTTTAAAAATAATAATTTTAGTCTTTATTTGCTTCCACGTTAAGCTGTCCAACAATTTCGTGATATGGTCAAGCAAAATGCTTTTGATCCTGTACCAGCTATGTCATTCTGTTCTCCACAAGGAGCTATGTTTAAAGATTTAGGTAAGACTTATTTTATTTTGTCTTTTTGATTGACTTTTTCTTAATAATAAATATTTCCATATTCTATAGACCAGATGTATGTTTATTTCACTATTTCTAAAGTAACTAATTCTGATATTTGTTAAAGGGATTGTAAACCATTAACTACACTACATCTTCACTACAAGTTGTTCTTTGGATTTTCAAAGAACATTGACTAAACTAAAACATGATGGCATTGACTAAGACTGCTTAAATGCAACAAGATGACTGTAATCAAACATAGGTTTAAGTGAAATCTCGAATTTTACACACTCTAGTGTCGTAATTAATCGGAGACCAAATGACAAAACGGAATATTTCTAAAATAAAACACAAATTTCAAAGTTTTCAACCTCTTCCATTTCTAGCGCTCGTTATCACTGCCGACTACTGATCCATCCGACTTAGTTGGAAGCTTCAATTTTATGTTAAACTTCTTTCAGACAGTTGATAGTACATTCATTTCACCTTCTTGAGTTATTGTGTGGTTGTAAATTAGTGGTTTGCGAAGTCAATTTTCACACAGTAAGACACAAGTCCCAGAGCATTACACTAATACTTCAGTGTATACATAGAAAACTGTCATTGATAATAATGAGAGTTCCGATAGTACTACTTATGCACAACATCTTAGATGTAAGGTGCAAAGTGGTGTGATTTTTATTTATGAAACCTAATCTTAGCATAGTTTTACAGGATTTACCAGCGATAAATTTCATGTGATGTCACCTAGGCGACTTTGCTTGCTATAGCCTGCATCATTATTTTAACAGGTGTAGTAATTTCATCCCACTGGGATAACTTTTCAGCTTGAAATTTCGAAACACTAAATTTTAACACGTTCTTTAGGTTACAGTGAGAATACTTACTAGAATAACAACTTTTCTCACTGTAACACTGAATTCTATTGTAACAGCAGAAGGCAAGACATGGAATCAAAGGTATATTTTTCATTGATCGAACCGCTATTTATATTCTTTAACCAATCACTGAGCGTGCATTCAGGTTTACATTAAACGACATGAAATAAAATGTTCAAATACATACATAGTATTCTGTGGGAACAGTATTTAGACATTAACACCAACAAATACAATGATTCTGGGTGTGAGAATAATATTCCGTTGGAACACATTGTCTGTATCACACCACCACACTATGACTTCGAATCTTGAAAGGGATGGTGTTTTTCAGAGTTGTTGTTGTGTTGGTATACTGTTTATCCCGCTGATATGAATGAGTAGTGTTTTACACTTTCAGTTTGAGCACTATGACAGTTTTTGCTCATATTCACATATAAACTTCTGCAGATTGTTTTAGTTTCTTTCCATTTAGAAGTTCTTAAAACTTTTTTATATTAATCAAAGATTAAATGAATTGTGCTATAGGAGATATTTTAAGAATGTCGAAACCCATAGACTCCTGATAAACTAAATCTTTATGCCTTCAGACCACTTTAAAGACGTCTTTACTTCTACTTACTCAAAACTACCGCAAACCTCAACTCCTGGTGATAGTATAACTTTTTGTGTTTGTTTTCCTAATTCAGTTAATATTTATAGCACAACAGGAACAAATGACGTAGAGAGAAAAAACGAATTGGCCTAACTTGATTCATTCAATATGGCATTTTAGACATACATTTCCATGTTTTGCATACTACCTGAATAGCTATAACTTGGTAGAACTATGTTGATATTATAATGTGGTGATGATCCGAACCATCAAATCATGCAGTGATAATCCATAGGCTGCTGATTTATAATCTCACTCTAGTTTAAGTCTTCTTTCAATTAGAATAAGCACTCAGTAAATTTACTGATCGAACATGAGAAATATATGATATACCAGTAAATATGAAATTCAGAGAACACAAGCACATCGGATTCATCCATCTGAGTTACAGATCCTCATGACTTCATAATTGGTTTATGTTTTTCCACTTACTAATTGTTCTATGATGGAACTATTAATTTTAGCCCACAAATCACCTTTTACACCGAAATATGGTAACAATAATGATAATACCTTTATTTCGGATAGTGCTTTTAAAATGTGCACATTAAAATGCACGACATTTGTTTGAAAAGCTAATTAAAAAGAGTACATGAGTGAATTTCGCGATCTGAAGACAATAATGAATATTTTCAAGTATTCGTTTTGTAGGGATTGTGTTTGATTGGTTGGAAGGTTTCATCATGACCTGGAGTTCTAGTGGTTGGCCGTGACCAGTAGAGTTCAGCAGGTTGAAGGTGAGGCAGTAACTCATCGAAGAAGACATTGCGAAGTGGTCATGTTATGAATTGGCAGAAGTTAGAATTCATCGGCCAACAGATAGGGTCCCAGTGGCTCAATGGTCTACGAGCTAGCACGCCTTGTAACCAGAAGGTCCTGGGTTCGAACCCTGGCGGCGGGTGCACCCTGATGAAGAGTCACAAGCTGGGACGAGACAGCTGTCCAGTACTCTTAGGTTTTCCGATGGTTCTCTAACTGATGTCAGCTCATGATGAAATCTTCCAAACAATAATGAATAATTAAAGACTTCAGGTAGTTAATTTTAATTCCTGGGGAGTGGTACTTTATACCAAAATGTCAAGAAGCAGTCATCTCATGCTTCTTGTCAAGTTTAGTAGAAACTTACGAATCAACAGGCTGCGAAACATTTTAAATACTCGTTAAAGTGAACAATACTAGTATAGGTCATATTTTTATATATGAAAACAATGCGAACGCGAGAAATAAGATGCAATATAATTGTGGGAGGTTTTGCTAGCCAAGTTTTTAAGCAGGCCACCACTGTCTTAAGTAGTGAATGTTAGTTATCTCATGTTACACTATTGTGAATAATTTATCATTATGATAAATACTAGTGGTAGCTATCTTCATTTTTTATAAAGTAATAGTCATTTCACAATAGTTTGGACGCCTTTACTTCTATCTAATCTTCAGCTTCAAATTTTATGAGAAGAATCGATGAAAACTTTACAGAATTCTGGGAAGGAAATATGCGCAAACTAAAAGAATTAGGTTGTTAAATTCAACGCTTTACCTAGTATAAATTCTATTGTATTCTTGGTAAGTTGCCTAAAGAAAAATATTTTAAATCTCCGCATATTTCTTACATACTACAACTGCTTTGTTGACTCATTACTGAACAGATAGAATATTTAAAATAGATCATATGCTACTGCCCTCAATGTATCAATATGTTTTAAATTTGTGCAGTCCTAATGATTCAAATTATATGGATATAATGACCAAAGTTGAAGAAAATTAAAAGTCCATGTTAGTTGTGAACTAGACACCTGTACAATAGTATATTAACAAATCTGTGATAATTAAGGACCAACCGGATTTCAATCTTTTCTTGTAAAGAATTGATGAAAATGCATCTGCATTCTTTCTTTATGTAGTTCTTAGAATCACTATTATGCGATAGGTAATACTGGATAATTTTCTTTTTCAGGTTAATGTAGAAACAAAATAAACAGGGAAATTCCACACATTATCATAGATTTGTGTTGTTTTATATCCAGTCATTTAGATCCATAACTTTTTTATTTTGAATGTAGTTATTCAATCTGTTTCTAATATCTCCTGGGTTAGTGTTTTGTACACCATTTAAAACAGTTTTCTACATATATTAGTTATTCGAACAATTTATCACACCTTAGTGAAAAAATAAGCCCAATGAGAACACGAGTGTCTTTTCATCATACACATATGACGATAAATGTATATCAAAAATTTTGTAAAAATGAAACTATTGGGACACTTCTTTAAATGCTCTTTCTAGTGAACTAACTCTCCGGAAATATTGTATGAGGCTTTCTTGTGATGCTTTTCTTAAGATTGACAGAATTTTCAAATTTCCTCCCAGAAAATGTAAGATTTTGTTGAATCTCAGAAAAGACATGAGTCCCTTCAAGACTGCATTTACATACTGCTGACGAGTGCCAACAGGCGCGAAACCCAAGTCCAAGGCTTTGTGTGGACTAATAATAATAATAACAACATTTCAGAGTGCATCATGATGATGAGCCACCTACCGTGGTGGCCACACTGCTAACTTGACTGATAGAATTCACTCTGTACCAAACGATTGACTAGACACGTGACACTAGTTGCTACATAGTATCCACTCAAAGTATCCATTACAGTACTAGAGGAGGTTAACTGCGAGCCCGAATATCTTAGTGACAGTGTCTCTGACTACAGCATTAGATGACCTCGGCTCAAATCTCAGGAGGGACATTGTTCCTTCAGGATTTCAGCCACAACTTGCTGACGAGTGCCAACAAGCACGAAACGTAGGTCCAAGGCTTTCCTTTGATTGCGTCCAGCAATTTCGCATCTAATAATAGACTTAAAAAGGATTAACAAAAGTAATTTCCTACGTGGAAATACAAGCAGTACACGTCATCATGAAGCCAGTAACAGTAGTATGTGTTCTGATGGCAGGTATAGTAAATTATTTGAATTTCACATTATATATCAGTATTTGAGTCACGAACTTACATTCCTTTTGCAAATTTAAATGAACTGAGCTACTACATTTATACACAAACCCTACACATACAAATATAATATTAATTATTATTGTCTCTTTGGGTTCCGAGTGGAACATAGAGCTTCAACAACAAATCTCCATTTTGTTCTATTTTCTGCTGTCCTCTTCAGCTGGGTCCACGATTGCCTATAATCTCTCATCTCTTCCTCACACAATTTCCTCCATCTTACCCTCGTACAGACGACCCACTCGTCATTCGACGGTCTCCTCAGTGTGTACCCAATCTATCTCCATTTCCTCCTACATATTTACTGAACGATAGGTTCTTGGTTGGTTTGTTCCCAGAGTTTCTGGTTCCTAATGCTTTCCGGCCATTCAGTCCTCAAAATGGAGTCAGCGGAGGCAGCTTTTGAGAAAAGTCTGCAGTGACCTGTGTTGAAATGCTTTTCCTAACTCGCTCACCATTTTTCTGATACATTTGGAAGAACTGACTGACTTCATAATTGTGTTGAAAATCCTAATTTTGTTTATTCTGAGTGCAGAAGATTCCCAGACTGCTTTCAGGTTGATGAAGGTGTATCTTGCCTTTCTGATTCTGGCTGGTGTTGTAATCTTCATGCGTTCCACCTGTGGTTGAAACAATGCTGGCTTCCTAGATAAGTGAAGGAAGTAACCTATGTTAAATCTCTCCCGTTGATGGTGATTGGTGCTGTTTGTTGTCGCTGTTGGTTGGTTGTCTTCATTACCTCCGTCTTCTCTGTGTTCACCTGCAGTCCTCTCTTCGCTGCCTGCCAGCCTCTTCAGCCAGCTTGTTGGTTTTCGCTTGCAAGTCTTCGAGTTTGTGTGACATTAGACATATATCATCTACACGCGAAATCCAAATCTTCTCGAGTCTTCCTATCGGTGGTCCAGCGTATTCCTGTCTCCTCGCTCCCGTGCATAGTCCAATACGTAATCCAGTCCACTACAATTAAGAATGTCATCGGTGATAGTAGGCAGTATTATCTCACTCCTGTATTCACTTCAGCAGAAGGCTTCGCCGAGTTCCCCGTTGTGGATCACCTGGCACGTGGCTTTGTCATGTGGTTGTTGGATGAAGTTGATGATGACTTGGGCACTGCACGCCGTAGTGTTGAAGTAGTTACCAAATTACTTCTCGGTCAACGTTGCGCTGTCGAAGGCCTTTTCGAGGTCGATGAAGTTGAGGTGGAGTGAGGTTTGACTGCCATGCTATGCTTTGTTCTGTGATGACGGTGCGTAGAGTTTCAATTTATCATCACATAATCTGCCTTTTCTGAATCCAGTCTGTTCCGGTCGGTGAGGTGGAGTTCTGTACCCAGTGAATCTTTTATTCTCTTCAGGATGATGCGACTTAGTGTTTTACTTGGCGTGGACAAGAGCATAATTCCACGCCAGTTCTTGCACATGCCTAAGTCTCCCCTTTGGTAATAATGGCATGAGCATATACGCGGCAGTCTCTCCGTCAGGTTTTGTTGCTTCAGGGTAAATTTCGTCTGGTCCTGCTGCCTTCCAAGATGGCTTTCAGTAGCCTGATCACATTCAAGATTTCCACCTATATTGGAGGACTTGTATACACTGGCAGGCAGTTCTGTACGTGCTGTTGGTGATGGTGGTATTTCTAGACGAGGTGCATGTGATGGTCGACTAAAGAGTCTTTTGAAATGATCAACACACTGTTCTGTTTGCCTCTCCTCTTTGGTAATTAGGTTCCCTTGAACATTTTTTCTTGGTTTCATCATCTGGACTGATCTCTTCCGGATGGAGTCCTGATTATCTGATGTGATGTTCTGAGGTTTGTTTTACCTTCGAACTGCCTATTTTGTTTGAGTTACCGGCCAGTGTGTCGTAGAATTGTCTTTTGTGTTTCCTGGCACTCTTCGTCACTTCTTTATTCAGTGCGACAATGTACATTGAATTCACCTTCTCCCTGTGTTGTCCATCTTTGCATTGGGTAGTCATCTTTTCTTTCACCATCCTCCTCTCCTCTCATCGATTAACTTCTAGGTATCCATTGACAGCCATTCCTTGTCTTGTCTCTTCTTTCTTCCTAAAACACTTGTACACGTTTCCTTGAACATCACCTTAATACAGTTAATTCCAATGTTCTTCCACACAGGTTTCCTCAGTGATGCTCTGATCTGATCTGTAGCGAAGGCATCCCTTGTAGTTTCGTCCTTCAGTTTCTGAATATTGAACTTGAATTACGGTGGTCTGTCCCCATTTGTTTTCATGGATTTCAGCTTCATCTTGAAGGTTTCTTGAACTAGATGATGGTCCGAGCCCACGTCTGCTCCCCTTCTCTACTTTGTGTCTAGTAGGCTGCGTCTCCACTTCCTTGAGCAGCATTGAGATGAAATCTATTTGGTTTGTGGTATGCCCATCAGGCGAAATCTACGTTAGCTTGTGTATATCCTTGTGTTTGTACACGCTCTCTCCAATCACCAGGCAGGTAGACAGACACAGAAGTCTACAAAGAGTTCTCCATTTGCATTCATTTCACCCAGAGCCTCTCGACCCTTGATGAATTCTCTTCCTGCATTATCTACTCACAATTCGGCTGGCATCCATATCGCCCATGAGGATTTTGATGTCACCATTCGGGATGTTGTCCAGTTGTCTGTAAAAATCTTTCTTCTTGTCTTGTTCCGCGCTGTTTGTTGCACTGTGCGTAATATCGGATAATTTTGAACTCATGGCCTTCCTTTTAGGTTGAATCTTGCTGTCATGATCTTAGATGAAACTGGTTCCCACTGCATTAAGGCTCTGGCTACCACCTGTGACATCATGATAGCCACTCACTGCCTCATTGTGTTCGTGGTTGTCATCTGGTTGACCAGATTGTGTTAGATTATTGACTCTCCCATTAACAATGTTGTCAGTCCACATCCATTCCATCTGCTCTCACAGATACCCAGCCGTTCTGTACCATATCTTCGCATTTCTTTGGCTACCTGTGCAGCTGTCCCAGTTTCGTACATTGTACGGACATTTCACGTCCCCATTCTTACTCTTGTTTTCATCGAGAGGAGACACATCGGCTGACTGGCTTCCCGAAGGCTTTCACCGGCCCGCTGTGTCATTTCGCCTCTCCGATTCGAGCGAAGAATAAGATTGTTGTTATTTGAAGTTTTTGTATTTTTAATATATTTTTTGTGCGTTGAAGTTTCTGTAGCAGTTTGAATGGTTTTGTGAGGTAGTGTCGCTAGCCCTAAGTCCAAGCCCCCTCTACCCGGGCTTGGGAGCGGCTAGAAAACTAGGGAGCTAGTAAACTAAACCAGGTTAAATATAATTAAAGTTCGCAATCAAAAGTGACTGATAAAATTGAAAGATATTTGACTGAAGGAGTCTCACCTTTAAGTATAAGACGAGATTTCAAGTTCTATGTCAGTCTTGCCAAAAAAACTTACTGATTTTATGCAGTGCACATGAGATTTCGTAAAATAGTGTATATTTTGAAACTGAACACCTTCACAACTGTAGTTCGTTGTTATTTCTACTTAAATATTTGAGTTCGCTTCAAAAATAATCCGTAATTCACATCGCTTTTGTTGTGTGTGGAAAATAAATGTGTGTTCCCACACATTCTGTTAAATACATAAGTTATACGTCCAAGTTTCTGAATTCGAATTCTCTTGATGGAATACAGTCTTGTTGGTAATTTTTAAATTGGTATATTATGACATCATCCAAGATGTATCTCATCTTCCCTTCAGTCTAAAATAACTATGCTAACTGGAATATTCTCAGGAAAATATTTCAGCAGCAATGATTTCTGGACTAGGTACAGTTTTGTGCTTCGGTGGCACAGTGGTTTGGACTCTCGTCGACCATGCACATAGTCCGGGGTTCGATCCCCTGTCGATGCACACCCGATATCAATGGTCGGCCTGCAAAATTTGGGCTACCGATATCATATGCTGAAAATTCCATATTTGTACCAAAGGTGCTGTGTGGTTTCAAGCTATAATCAAAATCAAAAATCAAAAAATTCAGTTTCTTCTACAAGTTTAAGAAACACTTAATGTGGCATATGTCTCACCGGCCTCCAGTCTCAATACCTCAATGTATATTTTCCTAATCGCTGTATATAAGGTTATTAAAACAAGAAAACATTCAACATAACGAATAAATTAGTCAGTCAATGAAGTTCTCATTAATCTTCATATCTGTGACTGAATTCCTGTGGTGCTACAAATGTTTACTGAACAAAGGTAAAGCAAATAGTAGTTAATTTATGACTGTGAGTAATTGAACAGTCAAGAGTTTTGAGCTTAGAACTGTATTCTTAAATTAAAGGGCTGAAGGCGATTTTCTGAAGAACTTTTATTCTTGTTTTAGTCAATATCTCTTTGTTATTAGTGATATTTACGCTTCCATTAAATTATAACATAAATCACAATACTGACTTCCTAGTAGCATGTTAAGGCAAGATAATGTAAACAGTTATTGGTCTAATCTTGAAAAAATAATGACCTAATTCCTTCATTTTGGTTATACTCAATAATAGTTTCCTTACTCTGAAAACTTCTGAAAGCTTGACAGCTACTTTTGCAATAAATTCCATCAATGCTTACTTAGCACATTGAAGTTATCTTCGCAATAGATGAATTATTCATTCGCTTATGAACGGACTTACTGAACATGTACTCCAGTTGATGTTTTTCAGAGCCTTTAAGTGTAAGAGTTACTTAAATGTAGACTTACTAATCAGGTGATACATAAGACTGGGCAAACTGTTTCAAAGCCAATAGTAGGAAGCTACCATGATGCAGTTGTTCGTTAGTCAATCACACTAATCTAATGTTAGACTGTGAATTTTATGCGACCTAAATGAAAGTTATATTTTTGTATCTATTAAGAAAGAGAAAAATCAGTCAACTATTCGAAGTGTCAGGGATGAACGCTACTGGGCATTACAGTCAAGTTACGAAATGAGCACGTCCCCAATCACCTAATGGACTGGAATCCATTGGACCATGTGATTTACAACAATGTGATTTAAACTTTCTAATTTCAACTGTCAATGACTTTCTTCACATACTAGTCAAGGGATCCCATCATTCATAACTTCTATTTAGAACTCCAAGAAATCCGCTTCCAGTTTAGTTGTGATTAGTGAGATACGTTCAGTTGAGTGTAGAGACAACTATTCACTGACTGATTATATCTGATGGGGCTGTCACCATACTAAGAACCGGTAAAAGATGTAAATCATAGAACATTCGATTTCGACCCACCAGTAAGCAGAAGCATGGTTGTGTCACAAAGTGACTGTCGGTCTTGACCCCTCGTACAGTGGTAAGTGCACACTGTTGATAATTCCCTCAATGGGAAGAAACAAGTGCCCAGTGCTGCCTGGCTTTCATTAGTTTAACGAGATAATATAGGTTTGTGAAGAAATAGACTCTAGGATTGATCAGATACCTGCAAACCCTACAATTCAATCTACAGTTTAATTTAAAAGTTAGCATTTTACTTTACAGTATTGATTATATAACATTTAATTTACTTTCCAGCTCAACCACTATGTTTGGCGCTAACAGAATTACTCATTGTGAAACCGAAAAATCCAATTCTGTATCTTGGGCTTTGGTTAAAAAACTATTCAATAGATAGTTCAAAACTGGATTGGATCATTAGTTCTGAATAAACAAATAAATCAGAATAATACAGTTTGACGTACCATCAGTCAGTATAATTGTTGTGTATTCATCGTTGTACTTGATTTATCATATGTTTTATTGGTAGCAGATATTTCTGTTAATCAAAATAAATTACTTTCTTGAACCTTTTTTCAATGTATTGTTTTATTAGTGTTTCATTTCATTGCTACATTATGGTTACCCAAGAATGATGTTGTACAATAAAAAATGATAAACATTCTCAAAATGTTTAGTATGATGAATTTGGATGGTCTTTATTTCTCAAAGTTTACTTATTCTGACTGAACTCACGTAATCTTCACATTCAGATCAAGATAGGATCTTAATATTTGTTCATATCGCAACTGCTCTGCCATCAGATAAACAGTTTCTTAAACATTACTGAAACGCTTTGTCACTGTATTAGTATAGTTTGAATCTGAAATTTCGCCGTTGTTTCGTGACCTAATGAATCCTGCATTGTTGTGCTACTGAACGTGTTATATAAGTGTGACGCAATATCAGTCTGAGTGGTTGATCGATAAGAATGCATTGGTCTGATACAAGTTGACTTATCTACTATACTGACTGATAATGTGACTAATTAATGTCATTATTATCAAGCTGTACAATCGTATGTATATGGCTTTTTAAGAAATTATATCCGGTGAGGGAATTAGGTCAAAGGTGTGAATACATGAAATAATAATAGTATGAAATGCAATTAAAATATTTGTGATTATAATCATAGTTTAATGTCAAGTGGCAAAATAATTAATGTCGTATATAGAATATTGCATGGAGGATTCCATCATGAGCTGACATCAGTTAGAGAACCACTGGAAAACCCACCTGGGAGTACTGGACAGCTGTTTCGTCCTAGTTTGGGAATCATCAGCAGTACGCGCCCACCGGGATTCGAACCCAGGACCTTCTGGTTAAAAGGCGAGCTCGTAGACCATTGAGCCACTGGGACCCAATCCAATGGTCCTTGAATTCTAACTTCTGTCAATTCACGACATAGCGCGACCATTTCGCAATGTCTTCTTAGATTAGTTACATACATATACATATATAAGTATACATAAGGTGTGTAGATTTTGGAAAGGGGTACATAATTATAAGATTAGTAGACGAATATTAAATGTTACATAACATGGTGTGAAATTTGATAAGATAGAATTCAATATTGTAAAAAATATAAAAATTAATAATTTTGGGTTTAAAATGTCAAGTGGGTCAAGTGGAAAAGATTCAGAGTAATAATAATGATAATGATGATAATCGTGGTAATAAGGGAAAAGTACATAGAATAACTAAATAAACAAAATAAATAAATATCTATCCCATTACGGCCAAGGCAGAAGTAGGGATTGTACATACTTCTTTTGTACACAAAGGTCTGGCTTAAAGTCATGAATTGGCAAGGCCTCAGTTGTCTTTAGAAGTTTGTAACGAAGAAAACGCGGGAAGTTAGCATGGATTCTATATATGATCTTAAAATCATGGTCAGGGTTGACAGAGTGACAGAAGTTGATCAGGTGTTCCAAAATAGAGCCTCGCACACACTTTCTTTCTCCCTTGTAAAACCATGCTGGAATATGTTCTCGTATCTGTGTGGAAAGCGTCCTCTGACTATTGCCAATGTACCTTGCTCCACAAGAGCAGGGGAACTGATAGATGCACATGGAGGCGGCCGGACGGGGGAGCACATCTTTTACAGAGGTAGAGAACAACTTGTGGCTAGTGAACGTCATATGTAATTTTGCTGCATAGAACGTCTTACTGACTGATTTAGAGAGACGATTTTTGAGCATATCTGAGGCTTGATCACCATTGAATTCCAAATTCATAAATAAGGTTTTCTTTGGAACTGTGTCGGTGACCAGTTTAGACTGATTATCTTTCATGTTGCTGTCAATAAATCGGTTAGGGTAAGCGTATTCTGCGAGGGTGGCTTTTAAGAAGTCAAGTTCCGAGTCAACGGAATCAGAACAACGAATTTTCCTTATCCTAGAGCAGAGCGAATGGATTAAGTTCCTTTTCCTGGAGATAGGTACCCAACTGTAAAAATTTGTTAGTTGTCCGTTCCATGTACGTTTCCAGTGGATAGATCTTTTGAGAGATCCGTCATTACGTCTGCTAAGGCACACATTAAGAAAGGGAATATTTAGTTCAGATTCCTTTTCTACGGTGAATTGTAAAGAAGGATGACAGTTGTTGAAAGCAAACAAGACATCATCAAGAATTTCGTTTTTATCGCAGATGACGAAAGTGTCGTCCACGTATCTTTTATAAATGTCACAATGACCGATGGTTTGATAATAAATGCGTTGAAAAGAGTCTCTTCGCTGAATATTGTGTTGTTAATGCTACAATGGGAATTATTAAATTAACTAATGTCTGCCCACAAAAAGCTGTATCATTTACATAAGCTCACACTTTACTGATATCAGAATACAAAACAATATAAATGAGGTTTTCATTCGCAGATAACTGATAAAATGCCATAGATATACACGTACATTGTCGGATTTCCGGATTACTTGAGGACGAACATCTTGTGACTTCTGTCAGTGATAATATATTTCCTTGAAGCATACTAATCAGCATTTGTTGGACACTATACAGATCTTATATGATCAGTCCAAACATCACTTATGCTATTATGTGTGGCAATTTCAATAATTTGATTTTCTAAGAAAACTGTGATACAATTTCTCATTTGAGTTTTACTCGGATTCATTTAAGTTTGCATGAAATCCAGTGACTTAACTAGAAAATAGGAAGTTGTTCTCGTATCCACAGTTATGAACATCTTTGTTCTAAGCTTTCAAAACAATTTATAGTCTGATTGTTTCTAGATGAGTTCAAATATCCTCGGTTAAACTTCTCTTCCTGTTTGACAAACTGTATATCCGTGTAGTGATGGTTCTAGCTTTTTCTGATTTGTAATCAGCATTACACCTTAAAGCAACACTTATTGTCAAGGTCCATAACATTATCAATCTAGATGTATAATACAGTTGCATCACAGGTTTAATTAGATCAAGAACCAATTTAGTTATAACATACTATTCACTTAAAATATGTCTGCCACATATTTACCTATTAATTTGATATAGATTTGACTTTATAACTGTAGAACGTGAAGAAACCTTTTTGAAACAAACAATCTCCATTTATATACGACATTCAAAATATGTAAACTCAGCCGTGTCACAAAATATAGCTCCTTGAGGAGAACAAGATGGTATAATGGATACTAAGATTCCAGTGGCTTTTCTTGACTATACCGGGATGCTTTCTAACCAGTCGATTGAAACACAAATAAAGTGACATAGATGAATTGTTTACATGCAAAACTGAACTGGAATTCACAAGTGTATTTATTGTAAATTACAATATGTGTCAGGCAAACTGTGAATATTAACTGATATGCTATTTCAAATCACTTGAAAGTAATACTGAGAAAAAGGTTATGGTCAGTTAAAATACAGTCACAGCAGGCATTTATCATTTTGACCTTAATGACTGTTGGGTAGACCATCCACATCATTGTAAAATTTCATGAATAATCTGGTTCAGCTGCTTAAAAATGACACAAACAAAACTATGTAGAGCAAATAATCTATCTCGGATCAAGTTAGGTATCACAGTTTCACTTCTGCAAAGTCAGTTCGACTTGTTTCACTTCACAAACGATAGCAATATTATTTACACATGAAACATTATTCAATGAGGTAAATACCTTTACTGGAATCTCTCCCGACTTTCCACTAAGTATGGATAAGGCGACGGAGCTTGGACGCATGATTCACTGATGTGTTTAATTTTTCTATGATACCAAAAGAAAAAAAACATAAACATAAGCCACTTACTGGGTGTGATTCCAAAAACATAAATGATTCTACTTGTAGCAAAAGAAAAACTTTTCATTTCAATTTCTCCCGAAGACTCTCTCAGTAGTTTATGGATTTACTGCGTTGAGATCTAAGTCTGTCTTCTTATATTCATATGGCTTAATCTAAAAGTACTCTCCATTTTGAAATTTTCCACCTGACTATTCTTAACGTAAGTCTATATACTGAATATATGACTATTGATGTTTAGCCTGACACTAAAACAATATCTGTCATCGTCACTGGAGACGATGGAATCCAATTTGTTGATAAATTTGGATTACTTTCCTTATGAGTGAACTTTCTCATACTTTACATTCAATTTTGAAATCTCTTTTGTTACTCATTAGAATTAAGCATCGTATACTCTTAATTACTAGTCATTTCTGTTTAACACCTAAATTCACTAATTACTGGTTATTTATTATTCAATACCACAAAGTACTTTATTTCTCTATAAACTATGTAGGTGTTTAGAATGGAATATTGAATTCATCAAAAATGAAATTTAACGGATTTTTAATGTCGTCAGTTGAAACAGTTCTAAATTGGTGCATATTTCTAGATATCCTCTAAATGGATCATTTGACTGGCATTATCGCATTTGGATGGTTCATATACTCATAATGACCTTATTAACTAACCTTGTGTTTCTGAGACACCTCTTCCCACAATATAATTATGTTTTTCTAATCTGAAACAGATGCATAGTTAATTAGAGATAAACAGGAACATAGTGTAAAGGCAAAAAAAAAACAATATTTCTTTGTATAATATCATACAACATATGTATTTTATAACTGAATCGACATCAACTTATCTTTTACCCAAATAGATTTATGTTAGCATTCACTATCCATGCATTTAATATCCTGATTACTACTGAGAATCATAGTAAAATACAGATGGTGAATCAAGGTTTTCTATAGATCATGCATATCCCCTTTCCTTATGTAGTACATGGGGATAATGAAGTTCTCGTGTAATTGTAAAAATGTTGAATATTAAATTCAAGCATTGGTTTGTAGGGATTTGATTGATTGGTTACAGGATTTCATCATGAGCTGACATCCATTAGAGAACCATCGGAAAACAAGCTGGGAGTACTGGACAGCTGTTTCGTCAGCCTAGTTTGGGACTCCTCACAGTACGCACCCACTACAGGGGTTCGAGC